TTACAATCAATTTGCAAAAACTTTGCTTCAGTAATAATAATAATAATCCTTGCATTTGATATAGCGCTTTTCACGTCGGGAGGACGTCCCAAAGCGCTTCACAGAGTACACTGTAAAGTGAATTGACTGTATATTTGTGGGCGAACGCGGCAGCCAATTGCGCACAGCGATGTCCCACAAACAGTCGTGGATTGAAAATGACCAATTTATTATTGTTTTTGGTTTTGGAGGATTATTATTAGGCTCTGTGTGGAGTAAGGAAACTTGCCCAAGGTTTCACCCTCTGCCTGGAATTGAACTCAGGTCTCTCACTTGCAAAGCGAGTGCTCTAACCACTGAACTACAGGACTCCACAAGTAAAGTAATGCAGTTAGTTCTGCAAGTCAACGCTGAATTCCTACAATGACAACGGCAGGATATGGGGTGAACTTTTGCGAAGACCAACCAACACATTGCAGAAATGAGCAAAACTGTGCTAAGCAAACTACACCCCCTCAAAACCAGGCTCATCTGCTCACGAGATAATTAGGCACATAGTTGTGTCAAAAAACACCATCCAAATGCCTCAGAGCTTTTACTGTGAAACGTAATGATGGCGCATTTTGTAGATGGTTCCCAGTATACAAAGCAGCATTCTTAAACATTGATAGTAATAATAAAAATCCTTGCACTTGACATTGCGCCTTATCACATCTTCTAGACATCTCAAAACGCTTCACAGATTATTACCTTAACGTAAGCGGAAAATGATTGAACTTGCACAGCACAAACTTGATGGTCCCACTATTAAATAGATAAATGCTAATATGATGATTAATGGGGTCAGTGACCAGATTGTTTAAAAGCAGTGTACTGGCACTTATAATAGTGGAAACATCAAGTTCGTTCCTGTGCAAGTTAATCATTTTTTACTCGCCTTAAAATAAGTGCGACTGGGGTCTTGCCTGGCTCAGGAACCGGACTACCAAAGCTATCGAAGAGGGCTGGCTTGATTCTGTCATTCCATTGCCAGGCATGTCACCTTGGAGTCAGTTCAGATCCGTTACCTTCCCCACCCCCCCCACCACCCCAAACTGGAGGATATCTGAGCAGAAAAGTATGTACAATTTGCAATGGTCATTAAGAGAAGCTTTATCCAAAAAACACATCGGATTATGAGATTCTTAATGTGTTTCCAATTAGAAAGAGAAGACACAATTCATAAACCTTTACTACCACAATAATATTAATAATGCAATATAATAAGCAATAAAAACTGTGGGGGGGAATGAGTTTATCCAAAAATAATAAGTGAATATATTCCCTCAGAGAAAATGAGGGGAGCTTGTGTGCGCTTCTTAAAGTGGGTCAGAGCAGGGATTAAGGCAAATTTAAAGATTATTAATATATACCTGTGAAGATACGTACATATGTCTGCTCCTACCCATCCTCCCCTACACACCTTCGTACCCGTTTCCCCACCCTGTCACTGAACTCATCCTATCCCTAAAACCAACCACCTGCTCCCTTGACCCCATCCCCACTCCACTCCTTATCTCCCAGCTCCATTTTCTTGTCCCACACATCACTGACATCATAAACCTGTCCCTCTCCTCTGGCTCTGTCCCCATTCCATTAAAAACTGCCATCATCACGCCCACCCTGAAAAAACCCTCCCTTGATGCGTCGCAGCTATCAAGCTACCGGCCCATCTCCAACCTCCCCTTTCTCTCCAAAGTCTTGGAAAGAGTTGTCGCCTCCCAACTGCGCTCTTTCCTCTCCACCCATTCTCTTTTTGAACCCCTTCAGTCAGGTTTCCGTGCTGCTCATAGCACAGAAACTGCCCTGGTCAAGGTCACCAATGACATCCTGACCATCTGTGACCAGGGCTCCCTCTGTCTCCTCGTCCTCCTCGACCTATCGGCAGCATTCGATACGGTCGACCACACTATCCTACTCCACCGCTTGTCCTCCCACCTCAACTTTCAAGGCACTGTCCTTGAATGGTTTAGGTCGTACCTTTCTCACCGTCTTCACTTCGTCTCAACGAATGGCTTCTCCTCCACCCCCCGTACTGTCTCATGTGGTGTCCCTCAGGGCTCTGTCCTCGGTCCCCTCCTCTTCACCCTCTATATGCTCCCCCTTGGTGACATCATCCGCAAACATGGGGTTAACTTCCACATGTATGCGGATGACACCCAACTCTACCTTTCCTCCTCTACTCTCAACTCCACGACCACCGATGTCCTGACAGCCTGCCTGTCCGACATCGAGTCCTGGACGAGAGACAACTTTCTTCAGCTCAACGTGCAAAAAACCGAGGCCCTCCTGATTGGCTCACGTCAGCGCCTCCGCACCTCAGGCGCTGACACCATCAGCATCCAAGGCTGCACTCTCCACCTCTCAAAGCCAGTCAGGAACCTCGGCGTTTTGTTCGACCCTGAGCTGTCCTTTCTCCCTCACATCCGCACCACAACTGGCACCGCCTTCCATCACCTCCGGAATATCGCCAGATTACGGCACTACCTCACCCCTCACGCTGCTGAAACCCTGGTTCACGCCTTTGTCACCTCAAGGCTGGACTATGGGAACTCTCTCCTCGCCGGCCTTCCCGCCACCTCCCTCCACAAGCTGCAGGTCATTCAGAACTCTGCAGCTCGTGTACTGTCCCGCACCAGGCTTCGGGACCACATCACTCCCACCCTCGCTCGCCTCCACTGGCTCCCCATCCCCCAGAGGATTGATTTCAAGATCCTCATCCTCACCTACAAGGCCATTCACGGCCTTGCTCCCTCCTACCTCTCCAACCTACTATCCCCCTACCTACCTGCCCGTACCCTCCGTTCCTCTGGCTCCGGTCTGCTCCACGTCCCCCGCCCCAACCGCCCTACTATCGGTGGTCGGGCCTTCAGCCTCTCAGCCCCGAGGCTCTGGAACTCCATCCCCCAGTGCCTTCGCCTTGCTTCCTCCCTTTCCTCCTTCAAGGCCGGTCTCAAAACCTTTCTCTTTGACCGTGCCTTCAGCTCCCCTCTCGACTCTCTTCCTCCTCCTCGCTCCCTCCCTTCCCTCCCCTCACCCTGACCATTTCCCCCTCCTCTCTCCCTCCCTTCCCTCCCCTCACCCTGACCATTTCCCCCCTGCTCGGGTCATGACCCAACTGTGCAGCGCCTTGGGACGTCCTCCTGACGTGAAAGGCGCTCTATAAATGGAATCTTGTTGTTGTTGTTGTTGTTGTATGTCATATACATATACAAATATATATCTACATATGTGAGGATATATATATTTGTGTATGGCTATATGTGTATATATATGAGGGGATATATATGTGTTTATACAGTATGATTTTATATGTATGTTAGTGTAAAAACATATGAGTATACATGTGGCACATTGAGTATACAATATTCAGAAATGCGTGTATGTATAATATGGATGTGTATATGTGTGTATGCATACTCACACTCACAAAATGTATATACACCTGTATATATCGTATCATACCTGTGGGAGTATGTGTGCAAGTATGAATATATAACAACTTGGATTTATATAGCGCCCTCCACGCCGGACGGCATCTCAGAGCGCTAAATGTTTATATATATATATGCATTTATAGGTGTGTGTCCATGTGTGTGTATAATATGTATATATGTATGTGTGTATGTATGTGTGTATATGTATACATGTGTGTATGCATATATGAATGTGTGCGCGTATGAGAGTATATATGTATAAATATGTCTGCGAGTACGTGTCTGTAAGTACATGTGTGTATGTGTGAGTATGGGTATTTGTGTGTGAGTACGTATGTTTGTGTGTGAGTATGTGTGTGTGTGTATACGTAAATGTGTGAGTATATGTGTGCGCGCGTGAGTACGTGTGGGGGTGAGTACTTGTGTGTGTGAGTATGTGGAGGGCGCTATATAAATCCAAGTTGTTATAGATTCACACTTGCACACATACTCCTCACTCTCGTATTCAATTCCCTGCGCTCCTCTGCACCCCGCGACCTCTCCGACCTCCTCTCTCCTCAGCACAGTTACCCGTTGCCTGCGTTCCCCCGGGGTCTGGCCTCCTCCTGGTGCCCCGAGCCCTCCGCTCCCCCCTCGGCGGCCGTGCCTTCAGCCACTACGCCCCGAGGCTCTGGAACTGCCTTCCTCACTCCCTTCGTCTCACTCCCTCCCTTCCCATTTTCAGGTCTCCGCTGAAGACCTTTCTTTTCGACCGCACCTTCGGTCATCTTCCCCCCACCCCCCCCCACTCCCCCACTCCCCCAGGCTCGGCCCCGGGATCCGTTACTGTAAAGCGCTCTGAGACGCCGTTCGGCGCGGAGGGCGCTGTATAAATCCAAGTTGTTGTTGTGTGTGTGAATACGTGTGTGTGTGTGTGAGTGAGTACGTGTGTGTGTGAGTACGTATGTGTGTGAGTATGTGTGTATGTGAGTACATGTGTGTGTGTGTATGTGTGTGTGAGTACATGTGTGTGTATGTATGAGTACGTGTGTGTGTGTGGGTGAGTACCTCTGCGTGTGTGAGTACGTGTGTGTGTATGAGTACATGTGTGTGCGAGTACGTGTGTGAGTACATGTCTGTGTGTGTGTGAGTACATGTGTGTGTGAGTACGTGTGTGTGAGTACGTGTGTGTGTGAGTACGTGTGTGTGTGAGTACATGTGTGAGTACGTGTGTGTGTGAGTACATGTGTGTGTGTGTGTACATGTGTGTGTGTGAGTACATGTGTGTGTGTGAGTACATGTATGTATGAGTACGTGTGTGTGTGTGGGTGAGTACCTCTGCGTGTGTGAGTACATGTGTGTGTGAGTATGTGTGTGTGAGTACATGTGTGTGTGAGTACATGTGTGTGTGAGTACATGTGTGTGTGAGTACGTGTGTGTGTGTGTGAGACACGCCGATGCTGCTGTGGCAGCGTGTACTCGGGCCCAGGGCCCAGGCTCACGGCCTGACAAGTGTGGGGTGGGGGCGGTTGGGATCCGGGGCGAGAGAGAGAGAGATGTCCTCACCTGAGTGGAGCGGAGTCGTCCCTCTTCTCTCCTCACCTCCTATGGATGCCCTGCCCTCTCCCCTCCCCCCCCCCCCCGCACGGCCCGCGAGCTCACGGCCTCCGTCTCCAGGCAACCGGCAGCCCCGCGCGCCCAACCGCCCGATCGCTGACACCGCCCCGCCCCGCTCACGTCATTACGCACGGCGAGTCGCCGACTCGCCCTCACACAGCGCACCCCTCTCTCCCGCTTACGTCATGACGCACGGCGGGCACGCCAAGTCGACGGCTCCCGCCCCTCCACCCCCCCCACCGCGCTGACGTCAGCACAACTGGCAGCAACAACAACTTGCCCTTCACACCCAGTGGTGGGGAGTTGTGGGGGTGGGGGGGGGGAGTGTGGGGGGGGGGGGTTAGTAAACCGGCCAAAGCACTTGCCGAGCCCCCCGCCCACCGCCCCACCCCCCCGCCCACCACCACCCCGCCCCCGCGCCCCCGCCCACCACCCCCCCGCCCCACTACCGGCGGGCGGACCTTCCGCCACTGCGCCCCACCCTCTGGAACTCCATCCCCGCGGTTCCCTCCGCCTCGCCCCCTCCCTCGCCGCTTCAAGCCCCTCCTCCTCCCTCGACCGTTGCTTTCGATCTCCCCGCTTCCTCCCCTCCCCTCCCCCCCTCCCCCACCCCGACCCCTGCCCCCCCCCCCCCCGCCCCCACCCAGCTCGGGTCCGCAACTCTGTCTGTCTGTCCAGCGCCTCGGGACGTCCTCCCGACATGAAAGGTGCGAATACACGTATAATGTCGCTGTCGTTGTTGTTAGATAAGCAGAGAACATCCCTCCAGGGAGAGAGGGTGCGCATTCCCTTCCAGACGCGTGCACTTCCAGACGCACGTACACCCGGGGAAGGAAACCCATCACCGCGAGAGACCCGCGTAAGGTTGGCAGACTTTACACGGATCTCTCGGGGTGATCGGTTTTCTTCCGCGGCTGTACACAGGGCGGGCAAGAGTTCCAGAAACGTCAAACTGACCAAAAATATTGAGATTTATTTTGCGATCGCGCGCACTGCGAAATCTGGCGACGGAGGGGAGTTTTCGCTGCCCGTCTGTTCGGGTGAGCAGCTCATCCGATCGGCTGCCGCATTTTGCCCACAAAATTCATTTGTACAGTACATCCCGTGAAGCGCTTTGAGACGCCTCGAAGACGTGGTAAGGCGCTATATCAAATGCAAGGATTATTATTGTTTACACTGAGAGCCTTGTGTCAAATATACACTGTGGATTTGGTGAACAGATTTGTTGTGAAAGGAGTATGGGTCAGTCTCAAAACCCCGTGTGCTTTGCGTGGGCGGGCAGCAAAAAAAAAATTCCCCTTGGCGGTAAAGAAGATGAGTGGCTGTGAGAAATGGATGAGACTCGCACCAGTGTGGGGAGTTGAGGGAGGTGGGAGGGGGAAGGGGCAACAGAAATTGGACTAAATGTGGGCTGAAATAAAAGATACCACCTGGAAGTCCTGGTATTCACACTGAAATGGCAAAGTGCTCCGTTTCCTATCGCTGGCTTTGCACAGCATAATATAATAATCCTTGCAATTGATACAGCGCCTTATCACATCTTCAAGACGTCTCAAAGCGCTTCACGGAATACATCGTCAAGTGAACTGACTGTATGTTTTTCGGGCGAAACGTGGCAGCCAATGGCTCACAGCAGCGTCCCACAAACGCTCATGGATTGAGTGACCACATAATTGTTTTTTTGAAGGGATTATTAGCCCCAGAAAAGCGATCCGCCAATCGACTAACAAACGAGTTCCTACTTACTCGGTAAACAGAGTCGTGAGGTACCCCATAAACAGAGTATGGGGTAAGGAAACTTGCCCAATGTTTCGACCTGCACGGGAATCAAACCTAGTTCCTCTCGCTTGCGAGGCAAGCGCTCTAACCACTGAGCTACGGGACTCTTTGTGCAGTGGACAGAAGGTCAGGAGTCTCAGGCTCTCTGTGAAACCGGTGGCAGCGTTTTGATCTAATCCTCTACAGCACAGCGGGTGAGGTTCCTCTGGCAAAGAAGGACACGTTTTTATCTTGTATCTTGTACTGGAAAACTTTGGTCGTATTCCGGCCGGGCAAAGGAGACCGTAGCGTGATCTTCAGCTGAAAACAAGGGAAGACAATAATGAGATGTGTAGTCCCGAAGCACAGTAGTCAGCTAGCCAGTCTCGCAAGCGAGAGGATCTGGGTTCGATTCTCTTTAGGTAAGTTTCCTTACTGCACACGCCTCTGTTTACCTCGCAGTAAGTAGGAACCAGTTGTTAGTCAATTGGCAAATCCCTTTCTAGGGGTAATAATCCTTCAAAAAATAATAATTTGGTCACTCAATCTACCGTTTGTGGCTCACTGCTGTGCGCGTGGCTGACGTGTTTCGCCCACAAAATATGCCTTCAATCCACTTTGCTATATATTCTGTGAATCGTTTTGAGGCGTCTCAACGACGTGATAAGGCACTACATCAAATGCAGCGATTATTATAATACTCGCATTGATGTAGCTTAACGTCGAGATCTTTCAAAGCTTCCCAGGATACACTGTAAAGCGGTCTGTCTGTGTGTGTTGTGCGGATGAACTCGGAAACCAATTTGCGCACAGCTGTGTCCCACAAACAGCCATGAAACAAATGACCAATTTTATCTGGTGGATTGCCAGCCACGACACCGTGAGGGAGAGAGAGAGAAACACCCTTCTTTTTTCCAACAGTGCCATGCTGAACAGGTACACACGGGACCTCAGTTTCTGACAGCCTGACAGCACATTGTGCTGCGGGGAGTGGAAATAATACCGGCCGTTACTGCGGTCTACCAGGAAGCCCCTCTCGAGCTGAGGGAAGCAAGTCGGTCCGAGGCCAACCAACCTCTGGCTCCTGCCGCTGCCATGAAAGGATGGTTCACTGGGAAGGGACGGAGCGAGAGGGCGGGCTGAACAAAATCATCCTCTGGGCCGGATGCGGCCCATGGGCCGCCAGTTGGATCTAACTTAAGTGATAGTGACAAGTAAAGCCAGGTTCAATTATCCTGAGTTTATTGTATAATCCTTGCATTTGATATTTCACCTCATAATGTCATCAAAATGTCTAACAGAGCACTGGGGGATTTTACCGTGAAGTGTAGTGACTGTGCGCTTGCAAATGCAAAGAAATGTAATAAAATGGGGACGCTGCTGTGCGCAATTGGCTGCCGAGTTTCACTCACAAAATACAGTCAAATCATTTTACAGTGTATTCTGTGAGGCGCTTTGAGACATCTCGACGACGTGATAAAGGCGCTATCAGAATGTACCTATGCCTGTTACCTGCCCGTGGATGTCCTTGCAGTAGCCGGTGACCAGCCCCTCCGCCCGCAACGTCAGGTGGCTCTGGTGCTGCAGCGACTTCACCAGCAGCTCATTCTCCTCGTCCTCCGAGTCAGCGTCGTCATGTGCGAGCACCACCACATTGCCCTGACACCGAAGACAACAACAACACATTACATCTGTTCAGCGCCTTTCATAAATCATAGAATCTTACAGCACCAAGGAGGCCATTCAGCCCATCATGCCTGTACTGGCTCTTTGGATGAGCCCCGACGTGGGGCTTGAACCCACAACATTCTGACCCAGAGGCGAGAGTGCCACCACTGAGCCAGGCTGACACACAGCCTGAAAGAGTTTCACGGCGGGGTTTTAAACCTAAAACAGGGTTTTAGCAACTAAGCTTTTCCGGCAGAGCGGAGATAATATTCTTTTGCATTTGATATGGCGCCTTATCACGTCTTCTAGACGTCTCAAAGAGCTTCCCATCATATAGTGTAGAGTGAATCGACTGTGTATTTTGTGGGTGAAACGCGGCAGCCAATTGCGCACAGCAGTGAGTGTCCCACAAACAGTCGTGGATTCAGTGACCACATTTTTTAAGGGATTATTACCCAAGGGAAAGCGATCCGTCAATCGACTAACGAGTGGATTCCTACTTAACCACTGAACTACAGGGTTCCACGAAGGGCAGAGGAGATCCTTACCTGAAGCTGGGAGCAGATGCTGGCCCTACAGTAATGGATGAAGCTGAGGATGTTGGTGGTGCTAACGCCCAGACTGAGCAGGACACTGAGATCGTCCACGATCAGCACCGGGAACTTCCAGCCGCTTCCGGGGCTCGGCGAGAGTGACGTTCTCACAAACCGGTACAGGCTCCGCAGGTCAGCACCAGGGGAGCTGCACAGCAAGGATATATAATAAATATCATAATAATAATAAGGAGGAGCTTATCTAGTTATATGGAGTCCTATAGCTTAGTGGTTAGAGCACTCGCCTTGCAAGCGAGGGGACCTGGGTTTGATTCCCGGGCAGGGCAAAATCTTTGACAAGTTTCCTTACTCCACGCACACAAGCCTGTGTTTAAGAGGTGTGTGGAACTTTTGGGGGAGAGAATTCCAGATTTGTGCTACTATTATTATATTATTATTTTTCTCCGAGCAATCTCTCTCTCCAGATCAGTCGAGCTTTGCAGGTGGATCCTTTGTAAGCAGCCAGTCAGTCAGTGCCTGGCACGGCGATTAGCTGTGAAGGCCAACAACTATGCGTTGAGCAGGCCAAGCTGAGGTGCATAGACTGTAGCACGATCGCTGCTCCCCTGCAATGCCGGCTGTCGATGGCCATCAGATACCAGCCAGGCCTCGCACAGCTGCGGAATTCAAGGCTGGTCGGTGCACGGCAACAGGTAAGAACTGTGCTTCACCTCACAAGCCTTCAGTGAGGACGGCGAACAGGGGGAAGAGGACAAGAACATAGAAACAGGAGGAGGCCATTCTGCCCCTCAAGCCTGTGCCATTCTATACGACCATGGCTGCTCTGTATCTCAACTCCAATTACTCCTATTCCCCATATCCCTTGATACTCTGACCTAACAAATATCTCTCCACTTCAATCTTGACAATGTGAATGAATCCAGGATCCACAGCCTTTTAGGGGAGAGATTTCCATATTTCCACTAGCCTTTGTGTGAAAAACTGCCCCTGATTTCACTCCTAAATGCCCTGTACCTTAGGAACTGGAGAGGAGACTCGCTCTGTGTGGCCGTCCCTTCCGGTTCATGAGTGAGTAAGAGGTCCAGAGACGATCGGAGTCCTTCCATAAAGACCAGTTGGCCCTGCTGCCTGGCTGCGGGCAGATTCACTCCCTGGCAGGAGATAACCAGAGACAGAGAGTGAGTGAGGGAGGTACACAAGGTGCTAAATGGGATTGGCTGAGTACATCCGGAAGCACGCAGGTTCAGGGTGCCAAGGACAAAGTTACGGCAGAAAATTCATCTCCTCCACTCTACCCACCCCACCATCGCCGGTCAGCTTTTCAGCCAATCTGTTCTCACTCTCCGGAACTCCATCCCAGAGACCCTTCACCTCGCCCGCGCCCCCTCTCGGAGTCCCTCCGACTTCTTCAAGGTCCACTTCTTTGACCGCACCTTCATCTTTCCCTTCCCCCCTCCCGTCCTCTAGGTTCTAACCTCCAGCTCAGATGCCATAACAGGATGTCAAATGTCTTGGGACGTCCTCCTGATATGATAGGCACTGTTTAAATGTAAATTTGTATTGTAAAATCTGCCTGAAAACACCAGAGGTGAGAGAGGGGGAGACTGCAGAGAGCCGGAACAGCAGGGAGACAAGACCTCAGTTTAACATCTCAACTGAAGTGGATCTCTGTAGTCTCCCGCTTTCCCACCTCTGGCCCACCCACCCCATTCGTCCCCACAGCCCGGCCTCTCTATCTCTCCGACACACATCCACACACTCAATCACCTTCAGGTGTGGAAACTACCTCTGAAATGAAAGTAAGTCTAACTGAATGAAGTAGATTAACTGATGAAAACTAAGTCAGTCTTGTGCCCCATCTGGAGACCCTCCCGGCTTGCCAAAACTCACCAGTTTCTGGGCTACGAGACTGTAATGGCTGAAGGATTGGATCAGACCGAGGAAACACACCTTGCAGCCTCCTGAAACAAAATGAAACGTATAAGTCATGTTCACCTCCCTGCGATGGTGACCCTATCAAACCCTCCCTTGCCCGGCTCCACTGCTTCCTCATCCCCCTGAGGATATAGTTGAAAACCCTTGTCCTCGCCTTCAGAGCCCTCCATGGCCTTGCTCCTTCCTACTTCTGTGACCTGCTAACTCCATATCAACATGTCCCCTGCCCCTCTCTGCCCCCACCTTTTGGAACTCCATTTCACATCCCCCTCCCTTGCCTCCTTCAAGGCCCATCTCAAGGCTCTCCTCTTCGACCGTGCATTTGGTCACCCTCACTCCTTCACCTCCTGATCTCAACACCCAGCTCGGGTGCAAATCTTTGGCTCTTCAGCGTCGTGGGATGCCCTCCCGACGTGAATGGCGGTGTATAAATGTAATTTGTTGTTGTTGTGATCAGATGGAGAGCGTCGGCTAAGGGCAGACACGATTCCCCCTTAAGAACGAGCAGAGCTCTCTCATGCCAAGATCTCTCACTCCCTGTTAATCAGAGGACCTTGTGTTGCCTGGCTATCAGTACAATAACCATTAGCTCCATTCATAACATCACAGCCAAAACTACAGTGGCCTTGAGCAGTCCAAGGTTACAGTTGGACTGAATCCAGTGTAAATCCAACGAGGTGCAGGCACTGTGATCTCAGCACAGAATATCGGCTCCACAGCACGTGTCACGTGTCACTCAGCCTTGACGGTGAGTGTCAGCAGGGTATTTGAGTGTGAGACGGGGTGGGGGTATCCCAGTTGAACCCAATCCTGTCCCTACTTAACATCCGCACACGCACCTTCCAGCAAGGGTTGTGAAAAGAGAACCCTTGACTGATGCTCCCCCTCCCTAACCCAGGGGAGCTGAGGCTTCCCTGATTGAGATCAGCTAACAGCCAGCGAATATGAGAGGTCCTTGGGGGAAGGCTGCTCTGCTATATGCTGCTTTAGGAAGATCCTTAAGGAAAGAAATAATAATAAAAATAAGTTGGTCACTCTATCCACAGCTGTTTGTGGGGACGCTGCTGCGCGCAATTGGCTGCCCTGTTTTGCCCATAAAATATAGTCCATTCACTTTCACAGTATATTCTGTGAAGCGCTTTGAGACGTCTCAACAACGCGATAAGGCGCTGTATCAACAACAACAAAATTACATTTATAGAGCGCTTTTTATATCGGGAGGATGTCCCAAAGTCAGATGTCCGGGCCCGAGCATGGGGGAGGGGTGGGGTAGGGGTGAGGGAAGGCAGAAAGGTGGGAGGGCGAGCGAAGCATGATTGAAGAGAAGGGTCTTGAGACCGGCTTTGGAGGAGGCGAGGGAGGAAGCGAGGCCAAGGGACCGTGGGATGGAGTTCCAGAGTGTGGGGGCAGAGAGGCTGAAAGCCCGGCCACTGATGGTAGGGCGGGTCGGGCCAAATCAAATGCAAGGATTATCATTATTTATTATTATTATAACTCAGCACAGACCAGGACTAGTCCACCTGGCCTTTCTCAAGCGAGGCAGTGACTTTTTAATAATCCTATAATCCTTGCATTTGAATATATACATTCACTTTACAGTATATTCTGTGAAGCACAACAACGTGATTGGGCACTATATCAAATGCAAGTATTATTATAATTCTGGGACCTTGCCCATCACAGACACACACACACACACACACACACTCGCGCGCACAACCTATTGCTCCCCACACCCGCTGTCGCCCCTTACAGTAAGAACGCCCTTTACACTCACCTTTCAGATAGAAGGAAAGGAAATGGTGGACAAGAAAGTTGCCATCCGTCTGACTGTCACACAGAAGTACACACTCCCCCTATACAAAAACACATACGAACCAGAGTTTTAGATGTTAATAGGCTGGGTTGATTCTCCAGCCGGTGTTGCCCTCCCCCCGCTCTGTGGAACTCCCTCCTCAACCACTCACTCCCCCACCTTGAAAGGCCAACTTAAGGTCTTTCTTTCCAACTGAGCTTTTGGTCACCTTCCTTCCTTATGGAATTCACTCCCCCAGAAGGCTGTAGATGCTCAGTCCTTGAACATCTTCAAGGCTGAGACTGATAGATTTTTAAAAAATAGGAGGGATTGGGGGATATGGGGAGAGGGCAGGTAATTAGAGTTGGGTCCGAAGATCAGCCATGATCTATATCGAATGGCGGGGCACAGGCTCGAGGGGCCGAATGGCCGACTCCTGCTCCTAATTCTTATGTTTTTACGTTCTTATGTTCCTCCAGTCAGCTCCGTGAAACACTTCTATGTATATAAAATGTAATTTGTTATTACAAACAGTTCTCAGTCAATGGCAAACTCTGCGGTTTTTTTTTTAGCTGGTTAGACTCCAGCAGTTACCCCAACGCCCAGTCTCGAGTCCCCAGACCTTGGCTCTCACCAACCTGGGCCTAATACTTTCAGGAATTAGGTAAGCGGGATGCTTCCCTCCGAGGAGAGAGAGTGCGCATTACATTCCAACAATCCATCTCTGGGATTTCCATGTCTGGGTGGGATGCATGGAATTCTCAGTTGGGTTTGGAGACTCTTAAGCAACGGTGATGGGTTTCTGCACGTGTCAGACACCCGGCTGACCCCCCCCCCAAAAAAAAAATGACTGCCCTCCCAACATGAAAGGTGCTGCATAAATGGTAAATTGTTGTTGTCGGTGTCCGTGCAAGTGGACATCAAAGATCCCGTGGGATAAAGGGAATTTCTCCCTGTCCCTCATTCACCTCAGGGAAGGAGTGGTTGAAAGCGCGGTCACCGATGGTGGTGCGGAGGGGACGAGGGACAAACAGGAGGCCGGAGCCAGTCAAGCGGACGGAGGCGCCAGGTAGTGTCTCCCCGTGTCTGAATAAATTGATCACTTACCCACAAGCTGTTTGTGGGAGATTGCTAAAAACAGTCACCACACATGGCAGCAATTTCCTGTGAAGGGCTTTTGCGGCGCTTCGCTGTTAGAAAGTGCTCTATGAACGGCACGGTTTATTGGGAATACTGTCCTGCATCTTATTTCATCACAATTTCCAATGTCGAGGCCCTGGCCAGAGCGGTGGACATTGCCACCCAGTGGCCGGCAGGGGCGCTCGGCTGGGTCCGCCATCCCGTTCGTCCCTCGTCCCTCCGCTCCCCCGATGGGCGGCCACGTGTTCAGCCACAGCTTTTGTCTTAACCGAGCAACAAGCTGTCCGGGACCCTCGCCCGCCCGCCCGCCCGCTCCTGCCCACCGGGTGTCGGATGTGCCCACGCGCTCGGGTATCAATGGAAATCTTTCTCGTGCCGCAGCTCAGGCGGCAAGTCGGCCGCCGACTGTCCAGCCGGCGGCTCGGGACGTCCTCCCCACGTGGAAGCCGCTGGGGGTGAATGCCTCGTTTGTTGTTGGGTGTTGTCCTCAGGAGGAATGTCAGGCCCCACCCCCTCCTCATAGGCCCTGCCCCTCAACATAGGCCCCTCCTTCTTTACCACCAGCTCCTCCCCTCCTTCTTTACCACCAGCTCCTCCCTCCTCACCACAGGCTCCTCCCTCCTCACCACAGGCTCCTCCCTCCTCACCACAGGCTCCTCCTTCCTCACCACCAGCTCCTCCCTCCTCACCACAGGCTCCTCCCTCCTCACCACAGGCTCCTCCCTCCTCACCACAGGCTCCTCCCTCCTCACCACAGGCTCCTCCTTCCTCACCACAGGCTCCTCCCTCCTCACCACAGGCTCCTCCCTCCTCACCACAGGCTCCTCCTTCCTCACCACAGGCTCCTCCCTCCTCACCACAGGCTCCTCCCTCCTCACCACAGGCTCCTCCCTCCTCACCACAGGCTCCTCCCTCCTCACCACAGGCTCCTCCCTCCTCACCACAGGCTCCTCCTTCCTCAACACAGGCTCCTCCTTCCTCACCACCAGCTCCTCAATCCTCACCACAGGCTCCTCCCACCTCACCACAGGCTCCTCCCTCCTCACCACAGGCTCCTCCCTCCTCACCACAGGCTCCTCCCTCCTCACCACAGGCTCCTCAATCCTCACCACAGGCTCCTCCCTCCTCACCACAGGCTCCTCCTTCCTCAACACAGGCTCCTCCTTCCTCACCACCAGCTCCTCAATCCTCACCACAGGCTCCTCCCACCTCACCACAGGCTCCTCCCTCCTCACCACAGGCTCCTCCCTCCTCACCACAGGCTCCTCCCTCCTCACCACAGGCTCCTCAATCCTCACCACAGGCTCCTCCCACCTCACCACAGGCTCCTCCCTCCTCCCCAGGTCCCACACACACCTCGCCACAGGCTCCACCTCCCTCCCTCACAGGCCCACCCACACGAGCCCCCCCCACCTCGGGCCGGGCTCCGGCGGGCCTTTACCTGCTCGGGGCTGTTGTTCAGGATGTTGTTCAGCTCCGAGAACATACCGGACTCCGGGGGGGGGGGGGGGGGTGGAGGCCTCAAACGCCTCAAACCCCTCAGTAGCCGCGCGGCGACTCGGCAACGCGTCACTCTCCCCCGACACGTGATCCGCGCAGCGTCTCACTCCTCTAGCACGTGATCCGCGCCGCCACCACCGCCACCTCCCCCCCGACACGTGATCCGCGCCGCGTCCCACTCCACCACCTACCCCCCCGGACACGTGACCCGCCCAGCGTCATCTTGCTCCCCAGCCCGTCCCTCCCCTACCCCCAACAGTGACCCGAGCAGGATTCCTCACCCACCACCAACCCCCCCCCTCCCGACACGTGATCCGCTCCGCGTCACTCAACCCAACACGTGATCCGCGCAACGTGGCTTCGCCGCCCAGGCCCCAGCGCGCGGCTCGCCACCTCCGCACGTGACCGGTGCGTCAGAGCCAACTGTCGGCCGCGCGCGGGCGTTCGTCGCCCGACCGTTATTTACCCGACGACGCAGTTACCTCAGTGGTTGAACACAACAACAACAACAACAACAACAACAACTTGCCTGTAATATCTATATCTATATATATCTCTCTCTATCTCTCGCGCCCCCTCACGTGGGGGTAGCGTCTCGGAGCGCTAATCATCAATGAATACCCTCAGTGATTATTGATGATCAACTGATGTCCTGATGACGGCCGCCGTCGCCCCGTCCCTGACCCATCCCTCCTCTCCAGCCGCCGCCGCCCCGTCTCTGACCCATCCCTCCTCTCCAGCCGCCGCCGCCGTCGCCCCGTCTCTGACCCATCCCTCCTCTCCAGCCGCCGCCGCCCCGTCTCTGACCCATCCCTCCTCTCCAGCCGCCGCCGCCGCCCCGTCTCTGACCCATCCCTCCTCTCCAGCCGCCGCCGTCGCCGTCGCCCCGTCTCTGACCTCCCGCTCCTCTCCAAGGTCCTGGAAACGGGTCGTCGCGCCCCAGCGCCGCTCCTTTCTCTCCCGCCACTCCCTCTTTGAGAGCCCCTTCCAATTCCCACGGCAGGGAAACAGCCCCCGGGGGGTCAGAGTCACCAGTGGCATTCTGGACATCCGTGACCAGGGCTCCCTCTGCCCCCTTGTCCTCCCCGACCTCTCTGCCGCCTTCGACACCGCCGACCACTCCATCCTCATACATCTCCTCTCCTCTTTACTCCACCTTCGCGGACCTGCCGTTGTCTGGTTTGATTCCTATCTCTCTCACCGTCTCTACTTCGTTGCCTCTTGACGGTTCCTCCTCCAGGCCCCGCACTGTCACGTCTGGCGTCCCCCAGGGCTCTGTCCTTGACCCTCTCTTTAATATCTACATTGCCCCCCCCTCGGTGACATCATCCGCAGACATGGGGTCAACTTCCACATGTATGAGGATGACACCCAACTCTATCTCTCTGCCCCCACCCTCAACTCCAGGCCCACTGCTGTCCTGACAGACTGTCCGACGGACATCAAGTCCTGGATGAGGGCAAACTTCCTACAGTTGAATGTGAATAAGACTGAGGCCCTCCTGATTGGCTCGCGCCAGCGCCTCCGCACCTCAGGCTCTGCCAACATCAACCTCCACGGTGGCACACTTCAACTCACCAAACCAGACAGGAACCTCGGTGTCTTGTTCGACCCTCAACTGTCGTTTCCTCCCCACATCCGAGCCATGACCCGCTCTGCCTTCCCTCACCTCCGTAACATCGCCCGACTCCGCCACTACCTCACCCCTCAGGCCGCCGAAACTCTTGTTCATGCCTTCATCACCTCCAGGCTCGACTATGCAAACTCCCTGCTTGTCGGCCTTCCCAACTCCTCCCTCCACAGACTGCAGATAATCCAGAACTCTGCAGCCCGTGTCCTCTCCCGCACCAAACTCCGTGACCCCATCTCCTCCATTCTCGCCCGACTCCATTGGCTCCCTATCCTTCAGAGGATCCAATTCAAAATCCTGGTCCTCACCTACAAAGCCCTCAATGGTCTCGCCCCACCCCATCTCTGACCTCCTAACCCGCTCCCTCCGCTCAGCCGTCTCTGGTCTGCTCCACGTCCCCCGACCCACCCGCCCACCATTGACGGGAGAGCCTTCAGCCACTCTGCCCCCAACCTCTGGAACTCCATCCCCCCATCCCCTGGGGGATCTCCAGCCTGGCGGAATAACCGGGAGAGATAAGCTTCCACAAGGCACCATGGGATCTCCAACGTCCGCCCAAACAGCCGCAGAAATGGGGAGGGGTGGGGGAGAGCTCGATTTTGGCACCTCTGACCATGCAGTGCACCACGCCCCCTTCAACCCGACCCCCCCCCCACCTTCCATACCGCACCTCAACGGAGCAGCTGACAGATACTTTCTCTCGGAGAACGGTAAGTGTTAGTTTAATGATGTCGGCAAAAAAAGACGAGACAATTAAACCAGGATTTATTTATCTGTTGGGGATTTATTTGGAAAGTACTGAATCAATGAGAGATTCAGTCCTGGTAACAGCACATTTTTACCCATATATGCATAGGTGATGAGTGAAGACGTCTCTTAAATGAGTCCCAGCTTCAGGTACCATGTTATAAAAAAAATACATTCTTCATTTTAATAGTAATCCTTGTGTCTTTGAGACAACTCAAGGCGCATCACAGAATAACACTGTAAAGTGAATTTACTGTGTATTTTGGGGATAAAACATGGAAGCCAATTGCACACAGCAGTGTCCCACATGCATCCCAGCTACAGTTGGAAATCACAGTGAGAAATTGTTGAATGGAATGTGCGCTCTCTCCCCGGAGGGACGCATTACGCTTACGTAATTCCGGAAAGTATTAAGTGCAGGTTGGCAAGAGCCAAGGCTTGGGGACCCCAGGTAACTGCTGGAGTCTAACCAGCTAAAACCACATAGCTTGCCATTGACATTGTTTCTAGGAAGCTTTCCCACTGCTTGTCCAGCTAGGAACGTTAGGGATTTGGCTTGCAGGGTGAACAAGAGCTGAGTGGGTTGACTCCCTAGCCCTGAGAGGAGCCGAGAGTAGGGAGATGAAGCCTCAACGTCTTGCCCAGACTAGCTCCGTTTCCCCCTGGAGTCAGGCTACAATCAAGAAGCACCTCTGGACCTCATCAGCTTCAGGTCTCCTGGTGGGGTCAGCAGAGAGCATACTGGTCAGCAGCTTAGTCTGAAAGATATGCCGAGCAAACACCAATGGTCATCAACAACAACAACAACTCCATAATCGTAATGATAACAATGCTTCTCTACCAAACAGCAAAATGTGGCAAAATAGTTTACAGGGAAATTGCTGCTGTGGGTATTACTGACTATATTTTAGGGGGATAGTCCAGCATGGATGTGATGAAGGTACATGGTGTCATGTCCTGAAATTGTTTACAATTTAATAGTTTTTGAAGGAGGCAAGGAAGGAGCGAGGCGATGGGACTCTGGGGTATGGATTTACAAAAGGTGGGGATGGAGAGGCTGAAGGCCCGACTGCCGATGGTGGAGCACAGCGGGGGACATGGAGCAGGCCGCAGCCTGCTGAACAGAGGGAGTGGACAGGTTGTTATGGGGTTAGCAGGTCACAGAGGTAGAAAGGAGCGAGGCCGTGGAGGGCCTTGAAGGAGAGGACGCGGATTTTGAACTCTCTCCTCCGAGGGATAGGGAGCCAGTGGAGCCCGGCCAGGGTGCGGGTGATCGTGTCCCGGAGCCGGTGCGGGAGAGGGCACCAACTGTAGAGTTCTAGATGATCTGCAGTTTGTGGAGGTAGGGGTTGGGACGTCGTGGAAGTGGTCTGCTACTTATAAAAAGAAGGGAATGGAAGGAAATGTAAGAAGGAAACAAATTGAATTGATGTTTCAAAGTGCCCACGTACTTCAGGGCTGAGAGGGTGCTGTGGTCAGCTAGGACTCGTTAGGAAGTCTCACCTCATTTGGATATCTGGTTTGAAATCCTGTAGGAAAGATGCCACTTTTCACCCCCGTCCATTCCTGCCAAAAGGAAAATGGGTCATTGTGGAAACATTTACAGTTTTTAAGAGGTTCCTTACATACTTTAATAGCTAATATTAAACTACCCTGCGTGAGGAGCACGATATAAATGAAAGTTGTTGTAATATTTTCTCCTGGAAACTGTAAATGATCTCCTGCACACCTCTTCCAGTCTCCCACCATATTTTTTATCAGGATTATTAAAAATGTAATTTTAATTCACTGCAGCAACTTTTAAACTGATTTGCTTTCATTAATATACATCCTCTGATCTTTCCTTGCAGGAGAGGGGAGATGTCCACGCTCTCCCCGGCCCCAGAAATAACCTTTAATTGGTCGTCAGGTTTAGGCCCGACCTAGGCCTTAAGATCATTGCTTTCAAAGCCAACCTTAAAAAAAGCCTTGGTCACTTCCCTCCTCTCTCCCCCCCCCACCCCCCTACTCCCCCTATAATCATCTCCTACCAAGCTCAGGCTGTCTCTAACCCTGTCTCTATGAGTGGAAGGATGAGATCAGATCTCTAGAGGTAATAATCCCTTCAAAAAATATATATATTTTCCTTAATATACACTAGCCACGCAAACGAGAGGACCCGGGTTCAATTCCTGGGTGGAACAAGTTTCCTTACTCCGCACACCTCTGTTTACCAAGCAATAAGTAGGAACCCGGTTGTTAATTCGATTGGTGGATCACTTTCCGGGGATAATAATCCCTTCCAAATTAAAAAAAAATTAATTGGTCATTTAATCCAGGACAGTTTGTGGGACACTACTGTGCGTAATTGGCTGCCACGTTCTGCGCATAAAATATACAGTCACTACACTTTACATGAGGAGCTTTGAGACGTCTGAACGACGTGCTGAGGCGCTATGTCAAATACAAGCCTCAGGAGTAGCAATAGTGAAGTGGGTGGGCGAGGTTCCAGAGTCGACCCACACGATGGAGAAACTTTACCTTCTGCTTCTCACACACAGTTTCAAATTTCCAGAGGAGTTCAAATAATATGAGGCCCAAGGCATAGATATCCACTTTGTGGTTGTAATTTTCTTCACTCTGCAAAAATAAAACAATTGTACAATAATGTAATCTTACAAAGAACAGAGTGCAGAAGATATTAACTGGGTAAATAGCGTTGGATATATTTCCACTCGTTGGTGAGTCAGAGGGCACCCACATCTAAAATAATGAGTTGCTCCACAGCACTTGGGATTAAAAGGGGTGTGAGGAGACAAATACCAAATCAAGAAATATTCTTCTAAAAATCCAGGTAGTTTTAAGCAGTCCAGCAGGGAGGTTCCTTCTCACCCCAGGAGATCCATGCACACATTCCCCCCATTCCCGCCCACACCACACACACACACACTCACCTGTTCAGGTGCCATGTAGGAAGGAGTCCCAGTGTCTGGTGACCGCAGGAATTGCTCGGATCCTCCCCTTGAGCAAGACGTTACCAGACCGAAGTCGCCAATTTTGACAGTGTTGTCATTGGCAAAGAAGATGTTGGCAGGCTGTTAGGGAAAGAGGTAAGGTCATCAGAGCCGAGCTGAGAGAACATGGGCACTCAGAAACTGGGACTAACAACTGGGTTCCTGCTTACTGCAAGGCCTGAGCAGTTCATTGTCACCTCGTTACTGTCAAATGCTCTGCACTTGTACAAAGCCAAGGATTCTGCTTGCCTTTTTTTATTATCTATTTTATTTGCAGATCAGCATTTTTTTCTCATTGAACCATTAATTCAGGACCTGTCTGCAGTGTGATGCGGGGTGTTAAGGGTCAAACACAGTTACACAGGCTTCATCCCTCTTCATCCAAATTGTCAGTCGCTCAAGTTCTCACTTCTGGGACAAAATTGTGGTCTCAAGTCCCATATCGGGAACTCCGAGTTCACAGTCCAGGCTGACACTCCGGTACAGTACATAATAATAATCTTTGCCTTTGTTATAGCCTTACCACGACTTTGAGAATTCTCAAAGTGCTTCACAGAATATATTGTAAAGTGTAGTGACTATATATTTTGTGGGCAAAACAGGTTAGCCAATTGCACACAGCAGTGTCCCACAAACAGTCATGGATTGAGTGACTACATTTTTTTGGGGGGGAGGAATTATGACCCTCCAGAAAAGCAGGTTCCTACCTACTGCTAGGTAAACATAGGCATGTGGAGTAAGGAAACTTGCACAACAATTTCGCCCCACCTGGGATTCGAACCCAGGGCCTCTCGTTTGCAAGGTGAGTGCTCTAACCACTATGTTACAGGACTCCACGATAACTTGGTCATTCACCCAATTCACCCTTGTAGTGATACTTGCGAATCGCTTTGAGGTGTTTCGATGTGAGATGGAGCTGCAACAGTGCAACTTGTTTCCAATAAAAGTCGAAATCTTACCTTTAAGTCCCGGTGAATGTAATTCTCCCTGTGAATGTAAGACAGGCCTTGACTGGTGTCTTGAGCAATTTGAAGTTGAAAATTCTCTCTGTTCTCAGTTTGGAACCACTTTTCCAGCGTTTGCTTGCACAGTTCCATTTGGATACACAGGACTTTCCTGATAGAAACAGTTTCATATGACCATGACTCCATCGTTCACAAGCTGTAACTCATTCTTAAATTCCACTGCCCAACAACAACAATTTGCATTTATACAGCGCCCGTCAAGCGGGATAGTGTCCCAGAGCACTTCACAGCGGCGGAGTGTGCCAATGAGTCAGGGGAGAGGGAGGGATAGGTGACTGTAGGCACCATCGAAAAAGGTGCTTAGGCAAAATTTGAAGGTAGGGTAGGGAGTGAGGGGGCAAGGCGGAGGGATTGAGGGAGAGATTTCCCAAGTTTTGGGACCTAGTGGCTGAAGGCACGGCCACCAATGGTGGAACGGAGGGGACGAGCGACAAATAGGAGGCTGGAGTCAGCCGAACAGAGGCAGCAGATGATGGAGTGAGGGATAATAAGCAGGTCGGAGAGGTAGGGAGGTGCAAGAGAATGAAGCAATTTGAAAACAAGAGGATCTTGAAATCAATCTGTTCGGTGTTTGGGAGCCAATGGAGCCTGGCAAGGACTGGTGTGATGGGGGGATGGAGTTTTGTGCCGATTAGTATCTGTTCACCGGGGATTTGAATTAGTTGAATTTGGTGCATGGTGGAGCTGGGGAGACCAGCGAGGAACGCATTGGAATAATCCTGCTGGGAAGTGACAAAGGTGTGGACGAGGGTTTCAGCTGCGTCGGTTGTGACGTACGGAACCCACATCCTCACCAACTCTGCACTCCTATCACACAAATATACGGTCAATTCCTTCGCCCACAAATATACGGTCAATTCACTTTACAGTCTATTCTGTGAAGCGCTTTGAGACGTCGAAAAGATGTGAAAAGCGCTATATCAAATGCAAGGATTATTATTATTATCATCCTGATCCTTACCTCCTTGCAGATGAGAACATAAGAATTTGCTCGCTGAATTAAGGTCCATCCAGTTCGCCTTCCACTATCCTGGCAGTCGCTTGATATGTCGTGTCCCAAACTATATATTGTATCCGAGATATTATTTCCTGACAGAGATTTATCTAATTTGTTATTGAAAGAATCAACACTTTCTGTTTCCACTGTCTGTCTCCCGAGGGAGGCTGTTCCACAAGTTTACTGCTTGCTCAGTTTCAGTCTCACATCAGTTTCTAGGTCCTTACTTACATACCACACTTCTCCTACCCAACTCCTCTGCCCACCCCCTCTACTCAGCTAATTTGGGTTTGCTGGATGTTCCCAGATTTCCACCCCACCCGGGTTCGATTCCTGGGCAGGGCGAAACACTGGGCAGGTTTCCTTACTTCACACACCTCTGTTTACCTAGCAGTAAGTAGGAATTTGGTTGTTAGTCAATTGGCGGATCGCTTTCTGGGGATAATAATCCCTCCAAAAAAATTATAAGAATTTGGTCACTAATCCACGACTGTTTGTGGGACACCATGTTTTGCCCACAAAATATAGTTACTACACTTTAGAGTATATTCTGTAAAGCGCTTTGGTATGTCTCGAAACGTGATAAGGTGCTATATCAAATGCAAGGATAATTATTATTTAATTTAATAATTTGGATTTGCAGATCCAATGCAAAGTTCTTAAACCTGCAGATTTCACCAAGTTAGGAGAACAGTGAAATCAGAGGCAGAAAGAAAAGGTTTTGCAAAGAGATCCCCCCCCCTGGACACACAAACTTTTATATTTTTCCTTTTCTAATATTTGGCTAAATCCTTTTTAAAAGCTATTACAGATTTCATCAGCTTTTTCAGTCGGGCAATCCATGTGCATGTGTCGGTCACACTCCTACCCCTACCCTCACTGCCCTGCACCCCATCTGATCCCAACCCCCAGCTCAGGTCCCAATCCCTAACTGTCCAGCTCCTTGGGACGTCCTCCCAACATGAATCATAGAATCTTACAGCACAGAAGGAGGCCATTCGGGCTCAGGCAGAAGCCATTTGATCGCATTTGTTGTCTTTGTGACTTACGTGGAATTCGATACATCAATCCAAGAGCTGTAGTATCGGATGATGTTTGTGTGCCGAAACTTCGCAAGGGTTTTGGCTTCTTTTACAGCCATCTCTTCATTCACATCACTGAGAACAAAGCACAGGGAGGAGTTAGACAAAGCCCATCGAGCATCAGCTTCCCCCTGACTGCCCAGTTAGGACTACCCTTCCCATTAGGCCTTTGGCTTCCAGATTAACAGGAGCAGAGAGGTGAAAATGCTAGTTCCCCAGTTCTGTTAAACGTACTCACTGTGCAAGTTCCACACATTTAATAGCGTATTCACAGTCATCCAGCTTGTGCTTCACGTGAAAAACCAGCGCGAACGATCCTTCCCCAATGCATGATATCTCATGGAAAGATTTCTTGTAACTGCAAACATGGGTTTAGGGTCAAGTAAACAGATGCGAATGTAAAATTCGACACATAACACAATAGAGGGTAATAATAATATTATTAATATAGTAATGCTTACATTACTTTCGCATCAGGAAGTACACTTTACACTTTACAGTATATCCTTTGAAGCACTTTGAGACGTCTCGCCGACATGATAAGGCGCCGTATCAAATGAAAGGATTATTATTGTTGTTAGTATTATTACAAAAGGAAATGTTCAGACATTAAAACTTACAATGAACGTCTTCGAAATTTGCAGCGTTTGGACCCACTGCAAGTCTCTGAATTGTCTGAACTTGGTGTGGGTGGAACAAATCGGCCCTCACTTCCCATTTCCTCCCACGTGAAACATTGACCTGAATTATTGGCATGGCTTTCGTAGCTGCTGATTCCAGAACTGTCAAAGTTGGAATCCTGGTCCAACTTCTTCAAATTAACCATTGCCTGGAAGGCCGCAATGTGATCGGTACTGCTGCAGAAATCGCTGAGACTAGAAAGGCCTCTGGTGTCCATGTCCTCAGGGCTCTTCTCCTGCAAGTCGAAGACCACGCTGTCAGAACTCTGGGTATCTCCCGAGGAAGACGATTGGGAGAAAGGCTCTCTCCCCATACTGCACACACTCAACATTCCCCTTTCACCGGCCTCGCCATGGAGTCGCGGGCACTGGGAGTCAGCGATGTTTAGCCTCTGTAAGTCCGGTATGTCGCAACCTTGCTCAAGTCTTTCACCACCGACACTGTTTGGGCAGATGCCCTCAAGCTCTTCCAGGTCACCTTTGCTTTCAGGGACATTTGAGATACCCCTGCATCAGATGAGAAGATACAATAACATGTTACAGTCAACAAGTACAACACCATTGAGAAGTGCATTGATTGGTTAGTTTTGCCCCGATCAAAGTTTTTCTTGATACTCCCTCTCTTGTAATTCTATGGGGTAGGGTGGTCCTAGCTGGAGAAGTAATGGGAAGCATGGCAGCAATTAGAATGGTGAGCTGTGCAGTTTTAGTTACTCTCTGCTGCTTGGAACTGGACTGAAGACCTGGTTCAGGAAAGAGACTAAACATCACCACGGAGGTTGACTCAGCTCTGACATTCCATGGCCAAGGATAGTCAAACTAAAAAATAAAATGCCAAAAGCATTCTTTCCATCGCTCGCCCATGTAGGTAATAATATACACGCGCAAAGTAAGACAATGGTGTACTCACTGTTGCACAGAATCCATAGATTCTTTCTTCAATCTTGGTCTCCACTTGATGACTTTTCTTGGCCTGTTGAGCAACACAAATATGTTGTTATACAAGAAGTTCGGATCAAGAAAGCTTTTCAGGAGTCCTGTAGTGTAGTGGTTAGCGAGTTTGCTGGCAAAACCTTAGGCAAGTTTCCTTACTCCACACGCCTCTGTTTATCTAGCAGTAAGTAGGAAACCGGTTGTTAGGAGATTGGCGGATCGCTTTGCGGGGGTAATAATCCCTTAAAAAAAATTTTTTTGATCAATCCATGATTGTGAGACCCTGCTGTGCACGGTTGGCTGACATGTTTCACCCACAAAATACAGTCAATTCACTTTACAACAACAACAAAATTACATTTATAGAGCGCCTTTCACGTCGGGAGGACATCCCAAAGCGCTGAATTTAGCGTCTCCTACCACCCCACTCCCTCTCCGCTGCCTTGGAGTATCTAAACTCCTCCCACTCAGGCCAAAAGTTAGGACCAAGATCTTGAACTGTATCCTCTGTGATGGGAAGCCATGTGGAGTCGGCGAAGATGGGGGTGATAGGATTGCGGAACCTGGTGCGGGAGAAGACACGGGCTGCAGAGTTCTGGATGATCTGCAGCCTATGGAAGAAGGAGTTGGGGAGGCCGACAAGCAGGGAGTTTGTGTAGTCAAGCTTGGATGTTATGGATGCATGTATGAGGGTCTCAGCACCCTGCCGTGTGAGACAGTGCCGGAGCCGCTCGATGTTGCGGAGGTGAGGGAAGGCAGAGCGCGTTATGGCACGGATGTGGGGTAGAAAGGATAGTTGTGAGTCAAACAAGATACCCAGGTTCCGGACTGGTTTAGTAAGGTGGAGTGTCCATCCTTGGATGGTGATGCTATCAGTGCCTGAGGTGCGGAGGCACTGACGGGAGCCAATCGGGAGGGTCTCAGTCTTGTTGGCGTTCAACTGTAGAAAGTTAATTCTCATCCAGGACTTGATATCCGACAGACATTCTATCAGGACAGCAGTGGGTCCTGGAGTCGAGGGTGGAAGCAGAGAGATAGAGTTGGGTGTCATCCGCATAATTGTGCAAATTGACCCCATGTCTGCGGACGATGTCACCAAGAGGGAGCATATAGGTATTGAAAAGTAGGGGACGAAGGACAGAGCCCTGAGGAACGCCACACGAGATGGGGCGGGGGCTAGAGGATAAACTGTTTGTGGAGATGAAGTAATAGGATCTGAACCCTTCAAGGACAGAACCATGAAGCCTGAGGTGAGAGGAGAGGCAATGGAGGAGGACAGAGTGGTCAACGGTATCGAAGGTAGCAGAGAGGTCAAGAAGGACAAGGAGGCAGTGGGAGCCCTGGTCGCAGATAGACAGACTTTGACCAAAGCTATTTCTGCGCTGTGGGCAGCACAGAAGCACAATTGGAGGAGTTCGTGAAGGGAGTGGCGAGAGAGGAAGAAGCAAAGCTGGGAAGTAACAACTCGTTCCAGCATTTGGACAGGAAAGGGAATTTGGAGATGGCGCAGTAGCTTGAGAGCAGGGATCGGTCCAGGGAAGGATTTTTAAGGTTAGGAGTGATGATGGACGTCCTTAAAGGGGTGGAAACAGGGCCCAACCAGTCCGGAACCTTGGCGTCTTGTTTGACCCTCAACTTTCCTTTCTACCCCACATATGTGCCAGTTGACAGGGAGAGGTTTATGATGTCTGTGAGGAGGGGAGCAACTAGTGCGTTCACCTGAGCCTTAAGGGAGCGGAAGTGGCTGGTGTACCAGGGTGACTTCCGTGAGTAGGAAACGGTTCAGGAAGTGACGGAAGCAAGAACATCGAGAGTGGTGCAGAGGGAGTTGTAGAGGAGAGTGACCGAGGAGGATAGGTCATTGCGGGAGGAAGCCCTGAGTGGGAGGAGTTCAGATACTCCAAGGCAGCGGAGAGGGAGTGGGGTGAGAGTTTTTTCCCGGGGAGGTAGGAGATGGAGGTGGGTTGGGTGGCGGTGGGGAGAGAGATTGAGGAGTTAAGGGAGATGAAGTAATGGTCGGAGATGGCTGTCCAACAGCAGCCGCCCTGACTGCCCCATCCCCATTCCTGCTAAGTAAACAGAGGCGTGTGGAGTAAGGAAACTTGCCCAGCATTTCACCCTGCCGGGAATCAAATTCAGGTCCTCTCGCTGGTGAGCGCTCTAACCACTGAGCTACAGAACTCTACTTTAGGTAGGAGTATATTAGGGAGGTGCTAATGCGTGAAGCGGTTTATAGGTGAGGGTGAGGATCTAGAAATCGACCTGCTGGCAAGAGAGTAGGAAAATAGAGGAGGCAGTGGGGACAGAGGAGGACTATGGTGATGGCCGTTTGATGTGGGTGATGTGGGTTTTGAATGAGCTGCAGTTTGTGGATATTGAGACCAGAGACCAAGAGGTGAAGAGGTGTATTAGTGTGAAAGGTGCTGTATAAATGCAAGCGTGTGGTTGTTACAGTCATGAGAGTAGAGAGCTGCAGGGGGTCAGCCAACACCAGCACGAACACAGTGGGGAAACAGGGGAATGGGATTAGGGTAGAGATTGTATAGGAATATAGGAACAGGAGTCCTTTGCCCCGTATCCCTTGATATCCTGACCTAACAAACATCTATCCACCTCAGTCTTGACAATGTGAAGGAGGAATCCAGTATCCACAGCCTTTTGGGGCAGAGAGTTCCAGATTTCCACTACCCTTCGGGTGAAAAACTGCCCCTGATTTCACTCCCAAATGGCCTGGCTTTAATTTAAAGACAAAAGTTTCTCTAGTTACCCTATCAAATCTAATTATCACTTTAAACACCTCAGTCAGATCACCCCTCAACCTTCAACCTCAACGCAAGGGAATAGAGACCCAGTTTATACAACCTGTCCTCATAATTTAACCCTTTAAACTCAGGTGAAGCTCCAGTGAGTGAGCTCACACCAGATGGCAACTTCCCAGTTTCTCAAAACCAGTACTGTATTGGTACTGTATGTTATTACACAGACTTTTAGTGTCTGATCAGTGCTTCCGGCCAAATACATTTTCTTAAAACAGGACTTTCCGATCCAAAACCAGTCAGTTGTCAATCCGAGCACGAGCACAGACATGATGGGGAGAGAGAGAGAGAGAGAGAGCAGGAAATGGGATTAGAGTAGAGAGCTCCAGTGGGGGAGCGAGCCCCAGCACAGACACGATGGGGAGAGAGAGAGAGGGAGCAGGGGATGGGATTAGAGTAGAGAGCTCCAGTGGGGGAGCGAGCCCCAGCACAGACACGATGGGGAGAGAGAGAGAGGGAGCAGGGGATGGGATTAGAGTAGAGAGCTCCAGTGGGGGAGCGAGCCCCAGCACAGACACGATGGGGAGAGAGAGAGAGGGAGCAGGGGATGGGATTAGAGTAGAGAGCTCCAGTGGGGGAGCGAGCCCCAGCACAGACACGATGGGGAGAGAACAGGAAATGGGGTTAATGTAGAGCGCTCCAGTGGGGGAGCGAGCCCCAGCACAGACACGATGGGGAGAGAGAGAGAGGGAGCAGGGGATGGGATTAGAGTAGAGAGCTCCAGTGGGGGAGCGAGCCCCAGCACAGACACGATGGGGAGAGAACAGGAAATGGGGTTAATGTAGAGCGCTCCAGTGGGGGAGCGAGCCCCAGCACAGACACGATGGGGAGAGAACAGGAAATGGGGTTAATGTAGAGAGCTCCAGTGGGGGAGCGAGCCCCAGCGCAGACAAGATGGGGAGCGAGAGAGCAGGGAATGGGGTTGAAGCAGAGAGCACCAGCACAAGATCGGTAGGCTCATTGACCACTTCTTGTGCTGCGATGCATTTCTTTCTAATTCTCAGAAATCAAACAACAAACTGCAAGGAAAGTTACAGTTAAGAGATTATCTGGAATATTTCTGGTGTATAAATCTGACAGACTCACAAACACTCACCGCCTCCTGAGTCGGGTTTGCTTTCATTTCCTGCCGTTCAGGAATCAATCGAGAAAAGGAAGTTGTCATCAGAGACAAGCCCAAACTTGTAGATGTAAAACAGCGCAAGAGACTGCTTCTGCCCAAATTTTCATTGGGCACGATGCCATTCCCCTCCTCCTTTCTAATTGCTTTGCTGTTTGGCAAACAAAGGCGTGTGGAGTAAGATATTGGCCGAGGGGAAAACCTCAGGCAAGTTTCCTTACTTCACACGCCTCTGTTTACTTAGAAGTAACTAGAAGCCCCGTTGTTAATCGATTGGCTGATTGCTTTACAGTACATCCTGAGAAGCAATTTGAGACGTCTCAACAATTTGATAAGGCGCTGTGCATCAAATGCAAGGATTATTATTAGTCCCTCCGACTCACAGATAGTAATAATAATAACGATCCTTGCATTTGATATAGCTTCTGAGCTGAACAGCTCTAACTTGTCTAATCGTTACTTTAAGTTACGTGGGGTCCTGTAGCTCAGTGGTTAGAGCACCCGCCTCACAAGCGAGAGGACCTGGGTTCGATTCCCGGCAGAGGGCGAAACCTTGGGCAAGTTTCCTTACTCCACACAGAGCCTAATAATAATCCCTCAAGAAAAATCAATAAATTGGTCACTTCAATCCACGGCTGTTTGTGGGACGCTGCTGTGCGCAATTGGCTGCCGCGTTTCGCTCACAAATATACAGTCAATTCACTTTACAGTATATTCTGTGAAGCGCTTTGAGACGTCGAGGAGACTTGATAAGGCGCTATATCAAATGCAAGGATTGTTATTATTAACTCCTTCCTTTAACACGGGGGAATCATACTCATTGCTTTCGTCTGCACTGCCCCTTTATGTCGCAGATCCCAGAACTGTATGCAGTCCTCCAGGTGTGAGCTGACCAGAGCACTGTACAGAGTATTCACAATGTCCCGTTCCCCCCGTGTGTTTTTTCTGCAGTGCACTGACCCACAACTGAAGCATTCAGGAGTCCTGCAGTGTTAAATGAAAAAGTTATTTTGTCTGCAATACGCTGTTTCCCTGCTTACCCAATTCCAGAGAGTATTAGGTACAGGTTGGCAAGAGTCACTCCAGAGAGTGCATTGGGATAACTGCTGGAGTCTAACCAGCTAACACTGCATACCTCTCTATGAAAAGCACTGTCTGGTTTCCTACTGCTGGGACCGATCAGGGCTTTGACTTGGAGGGTTAACAAGAGCTGAGTGGGAAGCATCCCTATCCCCAGTTAACGGTCTGCCCCTCCGAGTCCTGACGATGAGCCGGGAGCGCATTGTCCTGGAGTACTGCACACTTGTCAGGCTGAGGAACCAGACTATGGAGATCACCACCGAGGGTTGATTTGATCCTGTCATCCTGTGGTCAAACACGTCACCTTGGAGTTATCTCAGCCCTCAAAGTCCCAGCTAGGGGGAAGCACCATACCAGCATAGACTTGCCACTGAGTCCGACCAGCCACTAGGAGGCATTTTTACACCAGTAATACATTCTGTCCTGTTTTCTTTTCCTAGCAATCATCAAAACTAATCGATTTATGGAGTCCTGTAGCTCAGTGGTTAGAGCACTCGCCTCGCAAGCGAGAGGACCCGGGTTCCATTAGGCAAGTTTCCTTAATTCATACAGCAGTAAGTAGGAACCCGGTTGTTAGTCGATTGGCGGATCGCTTTTCCAGGGGCAATAATCCCTTCAACAAAAAAAAATTTGGTCACTCGATCCACAACTGTTTGTGGGACACGGCTGTTGAAGACTGGCTCAGGTGGTAACACTCTCTGAGTCAGAAGGATGTGGGTTTAAGTTCCAGATCGGGACTTGGAACTGCCTGTCAGGTAGATGTTAAAGATCCCGCAGTGCTGTTCAAAAAGAGAAGGAAGTTTCTCTCTCCTGTTGGCCAGGATACCTGATTGTGGGACATAGCTGTGCGCAGTTGCCTGCCGCTTTCTCCTACAAAACAGTCACTACACTTTACATTACATCTTATTAAACGCCTTGAGACGTTCCCCCAACGTGGAAAGCTTTGTATCAAATGTAAGGTTTATTATTATTTTATTATAAAGGCACAGTGTCAAATGGGAAGCTTATTAATCTGCCCGATAATAGTAATAATCCTCGCATTTGATATCGCGCCTTATCACGTCTTCGAGACGTCTCAAAGCACTTCCCAGGATATAAAGTGAATTGATCGTACAATTTGTGGGTGAAACGCGGCCGACAATTGCGTACGGCAGTGTCCCGTAAACAGTTGTGGATTGAGTGACCAAAATTATCATTTTTTTTATTACCCCCAGAAAAGCGATCCACCAATCGACTAACAACTGGGTCCCTACTTACTGCGAGTTGAACAGAGGCGTGTGTGTGAAGTAAGGTTTTGCTCTGCCTGGGAATCAAACCCAGGTGCTCTCGTTTGCGAGGAGGCGAGTGCTCTAACTAGCGAGCTGCAGTATTCCACAATGTGTCAGTTGCCTGCCGCACAGAGGGTTAATTCCGATCAGTCTCTCTCTCCCTCTCCCTCTCTCTCTCTCTCTCCTCCCTCCGCCCCAGGGACCGTGGGAAGGTGCAGGGAGCAGTTGCTACAGCGACCAGGAATTCATCCTCGGAGCGACACGGGAGAGGAGGAGTCCCGAATTCTCCACTTCCTCCTCTGCTCTGATGCACATCAAACTTCACTCCTGTCACAGAGCGGAGCTCAGCCCAGAGAGTGTAGAGCCTCAGCACAGAGAGAGCCAGAGAGCAGCACGGGGACAGGACACAGCGAGTGGAGCCGGAGCACAGCGAGAGCCAGAGAGCAGAGCTTAGCACAGAGAGCGAGAGCACGCAGCGAGCACACAGAGCGGACCCTCAACAAGCAGAGCCTCAACACAGAGCAGGTAGGCTCAACAGAGAGAGAGGACAAGACGGGTGAGCCAGAGCGCACAGCAAGTGGAGACAGACCATAGGGAGAGGCTTGAGGTTAACGCTCCATCAGGACCTTAGCTGCACAGTGTTGGGGGGAAGAGCAGTCGGGTTTCTTTAAAATAACGAAAAGTTTATTATCAGTTTAAATCTTGCCGGGTGTAAAATTCTCTATACTGATCTGCTTTAATAATAATAATAATAATAATAATAATAATTCTCGCATTCGATATAACGCCTTATTAGATCTTCGACACATCTCAAAGCGCTTCACAGAATATATTGTCCAGCGTAGTGACTGTTTGTTTTGTGAGGGGTGGGGAAAAGAAGAGAGAATGTCGCAGTAATGGAGCAGGGCACGGATTCACACTTCATTGATACTTGCGTGTTTGTTTGAGTTTTGAATTAACCACATTTCAGCTGTGGAACTCTCTTCCTCAATTCCTCCACCTTGCCTCGCTCCCACCTCCCCAGTTTCAAGTCGCGCTTGAAGACCTTCCTCTTAGACCGTGCCTACGGTCACACTTCCCCACTCCCCCCGGCTCGGCATCGGGCTCAGACACTGTTAAGGGCTCCGAGACGCTGTCCGGCGTGAAGAGCGCTATATAAATGCATTTTGTTGCCCCAATCGGCTGCCGCCTTTCACTTACAAGTATGCGGTCAATTCACTTTGCAGTGTATTCTGTGAAGCGCTTTGAGAGGTTTAGGAGATGTCAAATGCGAGGATTCTTCTTATTATTATTAATTGTCGTTGTTGTTATTCTAAATCTGTCATTTTCCCCATACCCACTTTGCCTTTTCCATCTCTTGAAAGGCCCTGGGTTTGATTCCCCGGGTAGGGTGAAAGGTTGGGCATGTTTCCTTACGCCACACACCTGGTTACCTAGCAGGAACCCTGTTGTTAGTCGGTTGGCGGATCGCTTTTCCAGGGTTAATAATCCCTTAAAAAAATGGCAATTTGCTCACTCAATCCACCACCGTTTGTGGGACACTGCTGTGTGCAAGTGGCTGCCGCATTTTGCCCACAAAACATACAGTCACTTTACAGTATATTTTGCAAAGCGCTTTGAGACGTCAAATTCAAGGATTATTATTATTATTATTATCATCATGTAGATGGCACGATGAGGCGCGATACCAAATGCAAGAATTATTATCTATTATTGAATTCTGTGGGTTTTTTTTGAAAGCCACGTTCAAATCTTTGTCTTTTTGTCCTTTGGCGAGGATTAAACTGTGGGCTGACTCTGCGCTCTCTTTCTCTCTCTCTCTCTCGCTCTCTCTCTCTCTCTCTCTCTCTCTCTCCCTGTGTGTGTACTTGTCTCACTGCTAAGTAATGCTTGTTTTGACGTGACTGGTGCCTGCGGCAGTGTTCCTGACCATTATGGGAAGTGAGAGAGAGCTACTTGCTGGGAGGAGCCCTTAAGTTGTTTCTGCAAATCGTTCTCTCCTACTTTTTCTCCATAAATTCAGCATTCCAGGAGTGCATCGCATTCCCTTGCCCGCTTCACCCCCGCACACCCCTTCCCCCCCCCCACACCACTTCCCACGCACGCTGGTATTAGCATCAGTAACTTTTCATAGAATCTTACAGCGCAGAAGGAGGGTCGCTTGGCCCATCGTGCCTGTGCCAGCTCTTTGAAAGCGCTATAATAGTAATAATCTTTGCGATAGCGCCTTACCGTGTCGTTGACACGTCTCAAAGCGCTTCTTCACAGGATATAAATAATAATAATAATCCTTGCATTTGATGTAGCGCTTTTTCATGTCGATGAGACGTTTCAAAGCGCTTCACAGAATATACTGTCAAGTGAATTGACTGTATATGTTTGTGGGCGAAACGCGGCAGCCAATCGGGCACAGCAGTGAACCACAAACAGTCATGGACTGAGTGATCAAATTTTTGGGGGGGGTGGGATTATTACCCCTAAAAAGCGATCTGCCAATCGACTAACAACTGGGTTCCTGCTTGCTGCGAGGTAAACAGAGGCGTGTGGGGTAAGGAAATTTGCTTAAGGTTTTGTCCCGCGCGGAAATCAAACACAGGTCACCTTGTTTGTGAGAGCAAGTGCTCTAACCGCTGAGCTCCTGGACTATAGTTTAGTAGCAACACAAATTATTTGCATAGTGCCTTTCACGGAGATGGGAAGCGTGTTTCAACTTCCTACCGGGAATGGCTTCCGGACACTGTCCTGTCCCAATGCCAGGATTTTTTTCATGTTCGCCGCGAGCTGAATCCTGAGGGATAAATCCCATTGTAGATTGGGTGTTTTGCTTGACTTAGTGATAATAATAATAATAATAATAATAATAATAATAATAAGTCTTGCATTTGATGCAGCGTCCTATCACGTCATTGAATTGTCTCGGGCCTTCTTCATGTCTCTTCACCCCGTCCCCAATCCTCCACTCCGCCAACAGCAGCCGTGTTTTCAGCCGTTACACCCTAAGACTCTGGAACTCTCTCCCTCAATGCCTCCGCCTTGGCCCCTCTTCAGATCATACCTGAACTTCAGCTTTCTCTTCGGCTCGTTGTGAAACTCCACCACTGTTGAGTGCTCTGAGACGCTAACGGCACAGTGAGGCGGGCTATGTAAATGCAAGTTTTTCTTGTCTCGAAGCACTGAAGTGAATGAAGCCTCTGACGTGAAAGGCGCTCTATAAATGGAATCTTGTTGTTGTTGTTGTTGACTTGGTCGCACATTCACCTCCAGGTCAGAAGATGGTGGGTTCAAGCCAACAAGTTGGGGTCTCGCAGTCCAGATTAACCCTCCAACACAGTGCTGGGGGGTGGGGGGGAGCACATTGTCAGAGGTGCCGTCCTTCAGATGAGACATTAAACCGAGGTCCCGCCTGTACCTGCTCAGGACCTGGCGGACGTTAAAGATCCCTCGACAGATTAGAAAAGAGATTGGAGTTTCTCCCGGTGTCCTGGCCAACAATCTCCCAGATAAATTGAAGATTCACCAAATGCCACCCGGGCACCTTGCTGTCACAAAATGGCTGCCGTGTATGTCTGTTTTAGAAAAAAAAGTAATTACACTTGACAACAATTGCTGTGAATCTTTGAGACATTTTGTACACACATTAAATCTTCTCTCCCGCCCTTTACACCTTTTAAAAGCCTTTCTCTTTGACTGTGCCTTTGGTCAATAATCTTCAAACTTCCCGCCGCTCCTCCCTGCTTGATCGTCATCTTTTCTGTCAAGTGTTTCAAGACGCTCGTTGCATGTGGAGTCCTGTAGTGTTCATGGTTAGCGCGCTCGCCTCGCAAGCGAGAGAACCTGGGTTCGATTCCCGAGCCGGGCGAAACCTTAGGCAACTTTCCTTACTCCACACAGCTCTGTGTCCCTTAGAAAATGTTTTGGTCACTCAATCCACGACTGTTGTGGGACGCTGCTGTGCACAATTGGCTGCCGCGTTTCACCCACAAAACATACAGTCACTATGCTTTATAGTATAAGCGCTTTGATATATCTCATTGTCGTGAGAAAGCGCCTCATCAAATGTGAGGATTATTATTATGAAAGTTCTGTATGTTGTGAAGCACTGAGAAGTGTTTGTCTTACGCTTGTGTGGGTGCGAGTTGTTATGAAACGCATTGAGACGTTCATCCTTCGCTGAATAGGGGTAGGGTGTTTTGGTACAGATGGCACCTTCACACCCAGGGGTGTTCCTAACCACAGGCATGTTCCTCAGGCCTGGATATCTATACAGACAATCACTCTGATTCCCATATGTTTCTCTCGGAACGCGTTGAGAATGAAAACAGTTGGAAACTCTCCAGGATTCTGTCTCCAGAAATATGAAGGTTTTTTTTTTACCAGTTTTTTAATCCTGGGACATCCTCGCAAGGTGAAAGGTGTTGTTCTTTGTTGGTGATCGAGGCTAATAGCTTATTAACCCGTGAGCAATCAGGTGAATTATGTGGGGTCCCGTAGTGTATTGATCGCTTTGCAAGCGAGTGGACCCGGGTTCGAATAATACTTGCATTTGTAGCGCCTTATCGCATCATTGAGACGTCTCAAACAGCTTCACAGAATATACTGTAAAGTGAATTGACTCTGTATCTTTTCGGCGAAGCCAACTGCTGCGCACGGCAGTCTCCCACAAACACACCCGTGGATTGAGTGACCAAATTATTATTATTTTTTCGGAGGGATTATTACATCTGGAAAGCGATCCCGCAATCGACTAACATCCGGGTTCCTACTTACTGCTGGGCAAACAGAGTGTGAGGCGGAGTAAGGAAGCTTTCCTAAAGTTTCACTCAGACCGGGAATCGAACCCGAGTCCTCTTGCACGCGAGGCGAGAGCTCTAACCACTACACTGCAGGACTCCATTCTGACACGTCGCTCTTCAAGGCTGAAGAGCCTCGGTTTATTTCATCTTCCTGCTCGGAATTCACACTCCCATGACCGGAACAGCAACAGAGATCAAACTGGCCAGTCCCAAAGAGAAACACAATAACGAGGAAGCAAGATAATTGCTAGCTTTATATAGTCATGTGTGCTTCCAGATTATTTCGCACTGACTTAATGTTACATGCAACAGCTTCCTGTCTATGCAGTGGAGCTCTGCAGCTCGTGTCCTCGCCTCTCCCGCACCGGGCTCCGTGACCCCTATCACCCCATCCTCGCCCGGCTCCACTGGCTCCCCATCCCCCAGAGGATGGAGTTCAAAATCCTCGTCCTTGCCTTCAAAGCCCCTCCACGGCCTTGATTCCCCCCCCTACCTCTGCGACCTGCTAACACCCTATCGACCTGTCCGCTCCCTCCGTTGAGCAGGCTCCAGCCTGCTCCATGTTCCCCGCCGAGCCCACCCCACCAGTGACGGTCAGGCCTTCAGCTTCTCTGACCCCCAACCCTTTGGAGCTCCATCCCTCAGTCCATTCCCTCCCTTGCAAGATGATTTTTCCGGGGGTAATAACCCCTCACAAAAAAATTAATGATAATCATTTGGTCCCGACGTGAAAGGCGCTATATAAATGTAATCTTTGTTGTTGTTGTTGTTGTTGTTGGTCACTCAATCCACGACTGTTTGTGGGTCACTGGTGTGCGTAATTGGCTGCCGTGTCTCGTACCCAAAATATACAGTCAATATATATATATATATACAGTATATTCTGTGAAGTGTTTTGAGTCATCGTGAAGACGTGGTATGGTGCTATGTCAAATGCAAGGATTGTGATTATTATTATTAAGAATTACTACTATTTACCGGAAAATGCTCTGCCTGATTGTGCCCAAAGGATCACATTCCCTTTTGTTCTGAACACAAAGGGGAAGTTGGGTGGGGGGGGGTCGCTGTCTGATCGCTTGTTTGCTGCTAGAGGAAGTGTGCGACTCCAGGCGTACAATCATAAGTGAATAATCTGTGACATTGCATATCGTGTTCCTTGTGATCATCACAAAGTGTCAGCTCAGCTCAATCACCAGCGCTTCTCGTCTCTGAATCACATGATGGTAGGACTTTAAACTCACAGTCCAGGCCGACACTCCAGTGCCGTGGTGGGGGAGCGCTGCATTGTGAGTGCAGCTGAGGGGCTAAAGCAAGTTCCCGTCTGTGCCTGTTCACCCCGGCACCTCCCTACCTCTCCGACCTGGTTGCTCTCCAACCCTCTACTCTCTGCCTCCGCTCGACTGGCTGCAAATTCCTGCTTGTTCCTCGTGCTCTCCGTTTCCCCCATCGGCGGTTGCGCTTTCAACCGCTACCCCTGAAACTCTGGAACGCTCTATCCTTATCCCTCCGCCTTGCCCGTTTCTTCCCCATCTTCCGGCATGAAGACCTTCCTCTTCGACCGTGCCTACAGTCACCTTTCCCCCCGGCACAGCGTCATGCTCCGCCACCGTCAAGCTGGGACTCTACCCTGAGTGAGTTGTTGTTGCTGTTCGGGTGGGTGTTAAAAATTCCATGGCACTATTGTAAAGAGAAGGGAGTTTCCTCTGATGTCCCGATCAACAATCTCCCAGATAAAATTGGTCAGTTACTTCACGTGACCAATCACGGCGGGGCTGTGCATGGGACATTGCAGTACACAAAATTGACTGTTGCGTTCGTCCACAGTTACTACACTTGACAGAAAACATCATGGGACGTCCTCCCGATGGGAAAGGCACTATCCAAATGTAATTTGTTGTTGCTGTTGTGATCGGATGGTGTGGATATATTTAACAGGAAGATAGCTTGGAAGGGAAGGGAAGGAGGGAGGGAGGGAGGGAGGGAGGAAGTACCGGGTGGAAATTTGGGTGGCGTATAAACACTGAGACGGAATGATTGGGTCAAGTGGCCTATTTTTGTGCTGTCCAATCTATGTAAATCTACTCATAGTTTCGACGTTATAGCCGCTTTGTGAAACGCCTGCATTATTATAATTTGCTATGAAGTAACTCTATCCCACAGTCCCTTCGCCTCGTTCCCTCCCTCGCCTCCTTCAAAGCCAGTCTCAAGACCCTCCACTTCCACCATGCCTTCAGTCACCCTCCTAACTCCACCCTCCCTGACCTCCACCCCTCCTGATCACAACCCCCTGCTCGGGTCAAAATCGACTTGGGACGTCCTCCCGACGTGCGAAAGGCGCTGTGTAAGTGTCATTGGTGTTGCCCTTGTTGTTGTGAACGATTGCAAATTAAACCACGTAGATTGTTCGAGCAGAAAAATGCCGTTGAGCCTGGCAAGTCTGTGCTGGTGTCTGATGACTACTCCTCCTCTCCCAATACCGCATCCTCCTCTCCCTTTAACATTCCTCCGTGTGTGGGGGTAAAGTGTGGAACTAAAAATAAGTCTAAAATGGTAAAAGTTGATAAATCCCGGTGACAAAAATGGTTGATAATAATCCTTGCATTCGATGCAGCGCGTGGTCGAGACGTCTCAAAGCGCTTCACAGAATGTATAATAATAATAATAATCCTTGCATTTGATATGGAGCCTTATTAAGTCTTTGAGATGTCTCAAAGCGAGACACGATAAAGTGAATTGACTGTGCGTTGTGTGGGCGAAACATGGCCACCAATTGCGCACAGCTGTGTCCCACAAACAGTCGCGGATTGAGTGACCACATTTTTTTTAAAAAAGGGGTTATTACCCCCAGCAAATATCCGCCATTCGACAGTCAACCGGGTTCCTTGAGATGTCTCGAAGACTTGATAGGAATTATTATTATTATAAATAAAATTGATCGTTCACTTCATGCATGTTCATGGGACATTAGCTGTGCACAAATTGGCTGTCGCATTCGCCTACACAATACATAATCACTTCACAGCATATGCTCGAGATGTTCTCCGGACACGAAAGACACTTTACCGATATAAGGTTTATTTTTTTCCCCCCCAGTGAAAGAAAAACAATCTGTCGAAGTGAGAGAATGGAGAGACTGGGAGCCCGTTGAGCCACACAAATGGATCCCAGACGTCCTGCAGTGAATCCTCGATTGGGGAGAGCCCCCCCGACCTCGGGGAGACTTTCATCATCCGCAGGGAGACTCCAACAAACAGCCAGAGTTTCTGTAAGTCACAATATTATCCTAATATAAATATTTCATATATTATTCAATCCACGACTGTTTGTGGGACACTGCTGTCCGCAATTGGCTGCCGCGTTTCACCTACTTTACAGTGTATCCTGTGAAGCGCTTTGAGATGTCTCGAAAACATCTCAAATGCAAGGATTGTTATTATTCCTATCATGGGCGGCTCCTCACTAGAGAGAGTGTTGATTTAAGCTCATCACGAAAAAGCTAAAAGGAGACGTTAGCATTTTTTTCAACACACATTCACAGCCCCAGGAACACAGCCTAACACGCAGACACACATATAATAATAATCCTTGCATTTGATATAGCGCTTTTCACGTCGGGAGGACGTCCCAAAGCGCTTCACAGAACACACTGTAAAGTGAATTGACTGTATATTTGTGGGCGAACGCGGCAGCCAATTGCGCACAGCAATGTCCCACAAACAGTCGTGGATTGAAAATGACCAATTTATTATTGTTTTGGTTTTGGAGGGATTATTATTAGGCTCTGTGTGGAGTAAGGAAACTTGCCCAAGGTTTCGCCCTCTGCCTGGAATTGAACTCAGGTCTCTCACTTGCAAAGCGAGTGCTCAACCACTGAGCTACAGGACTCCACATGCACAGACACGCATAGATTTACATACGTATACATAGCCCAACTGATCAATGCCGGTGTTCATAATACACACAGGTCTCTACCCGTTACGCACTCCCTCCCACACATCTCTCCCTCATGTGAAGGATGAAGTAGTTCTGAAGACCCGTAGGCTAATGGTTAGCGCGCTCACCTCACAAGCGAGAGGACCCGGGTTCGATTCCTGGGCAGGGTGAAACCTTAGGCAAGTTTCCTTACTCTAACATGTCTCATTTTCCCAGCAGTGAATAGGAATCCGGTTGCTAATCGATTGGTGGATCGCTTTCTGGGGGGTAATAATCCCTCAAAAAAAAACAATCAATCTGTTTGTGGGACGCTGCTGTGTTTTTTTTAACCCACAAAATACACAGTCAATTTACTTTATATATTCTGTGAAGCGCTTTGAGATGTCATGAAGACGTGATTAGGCACTATATCAAACCCAAGGATCATTATTAGATTCCAACCTTATTGAAACTTTAATTATTTTGAAACACCTCTGTTAGGTGCTTCCTTAAACATGTCTCCGCAAAGGGAAAAAAAAGACCTAAATTAGCCAGTCAATCCTCATGGGGATTTTGCTTGGGTGGAGGAAGCCTTGGCTGATGCTCTAGCACAGTACTGGGGTAAGCATTGCTTTGTTGGAGGTGCCATCTTTAAAGTGAGATATTAAGTCACGTTGTTTCACCAACAATCCTACCCCCATCCTCCCTGCCCTCCACTCCTCCTGATCCCAACCCCCAGCTCGGGTCCAAATCCTTGACTGTTCAGGGCTTTGGGATGTCCTCCCGATGTGAAAGGCACCGTGTAAATGACATTTGCTGTTGTTTCTTGGACAAATACCAGCAGGAAGCGGCGTATCTCTTCAAACTGGAACAGATCTTCAGGAACGCTCTGTCTGACCGGGACACTCACATCCTCAAACCCCTGCTCACTGCCGGTGAGTGATAGCACCAAGGGCTGGCTCATGGGGGTACCGCCTGCTGGGGGGTGGGGGGTGTAGAGGGGGTTTATATGTGTTTGTGTGTATATAAAGTGAGTGTGAATACATTCTGTGCTTCTGTATATGTATGTAAGTGTGTGTATAGAATGTATATATGCCTCTCCGTGTGTCAGTATGCGTATATATGCTCTGTGTGTGTGTGTAACCCGATGCGCGTGCATGTGTGTGTATACAGACACGCTGTGTGAATACACACACGCTTTGGGACACTACAGCATACAAAGGGCGCTATATAAATGCAAGTTTGTGTTGTGTGTATATAAAAACATGTGTCTGTATGCGTGTATATAGACACGTTCTGTATGTGTGTGTGTGTATATATGGAGACGCTGTGTGTGTATATGTAGACACGCCTTCTCTGTGTAACCCTGTGTGTGTGTGTGTGTGTGACTAGCTGTGTGTGTGTGTGACTAGTTGTGTATCTGTGACTAGCTTTGTGTGTGACTAGCTGTGTATGTGTGTGTGACTAGTGTGTGTGTGTATGTAGACACGCCGTCTCTGTGTGTAACCCCGCGTGTGTGATTACTGTGTGTAGATGCTGGCGACAACAGAGCTCGGCCGCTGCTGAAGGCCTCTCTGGTGGAGTTGGGGGAGAGTTTCCAATCGCTGTGTAAGCAGACAGACGAGATATGCCTGACCCTTGGCAACCCCACAGGCCGGCTGGCCATCCAGGACCTGTACCTGATCAGACAGCCAGAGCGGCTGGAGGAGGTGTACGTACGGTGAGCTGGGACTAGCGCTGGGCGCGAGGTTGAGGGGTGCTGGGTGGGGGGGTGGGGGCGCGGGGAAGTGGGGGAGAGAATGTTCAGCCTCTCGAGAGCGTTGCTGGGGGTAGCGTTGCATTACCCGAGGTGTTGTCTCAGGTGAGACGTTAAACCGAGACCCCCTAAATCCCGCTCCACTGAGAAAAGTGTGTGGGGGGGTATTATTCTCAGTGTGTGGGGGGTATTATGCTCAGTGTGTGTGGGGTGCATTATTCTCAGTGTGTGTGGGGGCTATTATTCTCAGTGTGTGTGGGGGGTGTGTTATTCTCAGTGTGTGGGGGGTATTATTCTCAGTGTGTGGGGGGGTATTATTCTCAGTGTGTGTGGGGGTTATTATTCTCAGTGTGTGGGGAGTATTCTCAGTGTGTGTGTGTGGGGTGCATTATTCTCAGTGTGTGTGTGTGGGGTGTGTGTTATTCTCAGTGTGTGGGGGAGTATTATTCTCAGTGTGTGGGGGGTATTATTCTCAGTGTGTGTGTGTGGGGTGTGTTATTCTCAGTGTGTGGGGGGGTATTATTCTCAGTGTGTGGGGGGGTATTATTCTCAGTGTGTGGGGGGTATTCTCAGTATGGAGGGGGGTGGGGGGTATTTTTCTCGAGCAGTCTCTGATTGATTGACTGTTTTCTGTGCCCTGTCTCAGCTACTTCACGGCTTTGTCAGACTACATAGTGAATGGTGGCTTTGAACACATTGCCAAACAGAGCAGGTATGAAAGGGTGAGGGGGGGTGGGGGCACTGGGTGGGGAGGTGGGTCTGGCAGGTGACAGGAGGGGCTGCTGGGTGAGGGGAGGGGCCTCTGGGCAAGGGTGTGGGGCCACTGGCTGAGAGGCTGTTGGTAAGAGGTGGGGCATTGGGTATAGGGAGGGGCCATTGGGTATAGGGAGGGGCAGTTGGTTGAGGGTAGGGGCTGTTGGGTGAAGGGAGCGGCCATTGGATATAGGGAGGGGCTGCAGGTGAGGGGAGAGACCGTTGGGTGAGGGGAAGGGTCCGTTGGTTGGGTGGAGCTGGGGGTGACAGAGCACAAGGCATGCGAGTTGAAGACTTAATTTCACAGAAACCCTCTGAGAGAGGACAGAATGTGCTGATGAATTTATTGCAACCCCGTGAAGTATCTGAGAAGCGGGAAGTGGCTGAGGTTCACTTCCTCAATCCCAACCCCCATCCTGGACTCGGACAAAGCATCAGGGTGGAATTAGTGGATCGAGCGCTCGACTATATTTTGTGGACGAAAAGCAGCAGTCAATTGCGCACAGCGGTGACCCACAAACAGAAAGGGAGAGAGGGGGTCTATGTTGGGGGATATACAGTCAATCCACTTTACAGAAAATCCTATGAAGCGCTTTGAGACTTTCTTCCGAAATGATATGGCACCAAATGCAAGAATTATTATTATTATAATTGTTATTATAAATCCCGTCCCCGTAAACTGATGTGAGACATTCCCAAGGCGCTGGACTGGACCTGAGCTGGGAGGGTTGGGATCAGGGAGGGGTGAAGGGCAGGGAGGGTGCGGGTAGGAGGGTGACCGAAGGCGTAGTCGAAGAGGAGGTTTTTGAGACTGGCCTTGAAGGAAGCAAGGGAGGGGGTGAGGTGAAGGGACTGTGGGATGGAGTTCCAAAGGGTGGGGGCAGAAAAGCTGAAGGCCCGACTGCCGATGGTGGGGCTGGCCGGGCGAGGGAAGTGGGCACTGACGCACACACACCCACTACAGAGCTAACCAAACAAATAAAAACTCTTCTCCTTTTCTTTCCAAAATGCACCCAGTGACCATTGGAAGAAGAATAAGAAAGTATTGAAAGGCTTCTTACCGGATTTGGCCCCAAAGATCCCGGTTTCGGTCAGTCTTCAACGGCTCTTTCAGGAGGCCATCCACCTGCATGTCCAGAAGTATGTGGAGGTTATCCAGAAGCTTTCCCGTGGCATCGAGAAGGTCAGTTTGATCCCTCACCGCCCAAGTGGAGTCCCGGAGTAGTGGTGGTGTTGTCAGTGCGCACTCGCCTCACAAGCGAGAGAAGTTGGGTTCGATTCCCTAGCGGGGCAAAACTTTAGACAAGTTTCCTTCCTCCAACCACACGCCTCTGTTTACCTAGCAGTAAGTAGGAACCTGGTTGTTAGTCGAATGGCGGATCGCTTTCCCAGGGGTAATAATTCCTCCAAACCCTCCCCTCCCAATACTTTGGTCCACGACTGTTTGTGGGACACTGCTGTGTGCAAGTGGCTGCCGGCGTTTCACCTACAAGAGGCTTAGTCAATCCATGTTACAGTATATTCTATGAGGCGCTTTGAAACATCTGAACTATGTGAGAAGGCACTATATCAAATGCAAGGATTGTTATTTTTATTATTTTTATTATTGTTATTTCAGCCAGAATTTGGATGTGGCTTTTTTCGCAGTCCTTAAAAGATTTTTCTTTGATAAAAAAATACTGGAGAGAAATTAATCTCACCGTTCGTGAATTAATATTGTGTGCACAGGGGTTTCAGATCATCGTCAAAAGGCAGCGGTTCGGAGAGGTTCTTTTTTAAATCAACATTCAAATGACATTTATACAGCGCCTTTCACGTCAGGAGGACGTCCCAAGGCACTGGAGGGCTGGGAGGGTGGAGGCAGGGGGGCTGACCGAAGGCGCGGTCGAAGAGGAAGGTCTGAGGCAAGGGAGCGAGACGAAGGGACTGGGGAATGGCAGAGAGTCTGAAGGCTAAACAGTCGGTGTTTAGGATGTGGAACTCCCAACTTGGAACTGTGGTTAAGGCAGAATCCATATTGTTTTTTAGAGGGAACTGGGTAAATATCTGAAAAGAAGAAGTTGGTGGGGTGCGGAGGGCGGGGGGGGGAGGTGCGGTGGAAGGGGAGGGGGAGGCAGGAAATTGGGAGAGGTGGGTGAAGTAAGCGAGTGAGATTAGACTTTGAGGAGAAACAGACCAGTGAGTTAGTTGGGCTCAACGGCTGTCTTCTATGCTGCGAAATGTTTGCTTCTAAAACCAAACTTTGATAAATAATAATTCTTGCATTTGCTATAGCGCTTCATCATGTCGTCAAGACGTCTCAAGGCACTTGGCGGAATACACTGTAAAGTGAATTGACCCAGGATGGTCCAACTGGCGGCCCGTGGGCCAGTTGCGGCCCGAGGGCCAATTTCATCCGCGCCGTGCCCTCCCCCCCCCCCCCGCCCCATTTCATCTGGCCCACCCGCCCTCTCCATAACTCGGAAATGTGATGTTACATTTCTGGAAGGGAAACACTAAAATATGGCTAATGCGCCCCGCGGACTTTTCACAAATAGGGCATCTGGCCCTCAGCAGCCAACAGGTTGGACCCCCTTCTGGGGTATCCCATATGGTATACAAACGTAATTTGTGATTGTTATTATGAGTAAATGTAATGATTTCTTTTTGCTCCTTTCTTTCCAGGTTCCCCAGAAAGAACAGATTGGAAAGGCCCTCGCCAGGTTCACCAGCCTTGAGCGGTGGGTCAGACAGGTCCTGGATGTGGCAGCTCTCACCAGGAAACTGTGGACCTCTCTCAACGCCAAACTGACCGTGAGCTTCTTAGTCCTGTAGCGCTTTGGTTAGAGCAACTCGCCTCGCAAGCGAGAAGACCTGGGTTCGATTCCCAGGTGGAGCAGGGCGAAACAGTACCCTATTTTTGTTTGGGGTCAGCCAGGCGTCAGACACATTTGATAACTCATCACCATGAGTCTCTAAACCAAACTGTTTCCCTATCAGTAAGTAGGAACCCAGTTGTTAGTTGATTGGCGGATCACTTTTCCAGGGGTACTAATCATTTACAATCCACAACTGTTTGTGGGACACTGCTGTCCGCAATTGGCTGGCGTATTTCGCCCACAAAAATACAGTCAATTCACTTTACAGAATATCCTGTGAAACGTTTTGAGACGTCTCGAAGACAGGCTAAGGCGCTATATCAAATGCAAGAATAATTATGATAATTATTGTTCTTCACACACACACATGGGGTAACTCCCCTGGACAGAATTAAGAAAGCAACCGAGATTGGGACAAGAGAAATTAGGTTTATTTTGGGAGAGTAAAAAAATGAGAGAGGGAAATGCAGTCTGACTCACTGTAGGCTCAATTCTTTGCCCAACGTGTCATTGACTGTCGCAAGAAGCTCTCTTTGTGCTTAGGTCAGCTATTCGCTTCCTGTCTGCTGGATGCTCTCTGTCTTAAAAGAGCATTTCCTCTTACCGCCCCCACCCAACTTGCTCTTCCACCTGCTCTTGGGGTCACCATCTCCCAGAGGCAAAAAAAATGGACACCGACTCGAAAAGCACCCCCTCATTGCCAAACCCATCATCGCCTTTGGACATCATGTAACCCCTCTCCTCGCCTCCTCTCAGGAATCTCCCACTTATTTCCTTGAGCAGGTTAAATCGCGGGATCTTCAGTATGCAGCTTGAGTAGACACAAATTGTTCCTATTCAAGCTACACATTAAATAATAATAATACTTGCATTTGATAAGCGAGGTATCACGTCGTTGAGACGTCTCAAAGCGATTAAAGTAATATATTGTAAAGTGAATCGACCGTATATTTTGTAGGCGAAAGGTGGCAGTCAATTGCGCACAGCAGTGTCCCCACAAACAGTCGTGGACTGAGTGACCACATTATTATATTTCTATTTGGAGGGATTTCTAACACCGGAAAAGCGATACACCAATTGATTAACAACCAGGTTGCTTACTGCTAGGTAAACAGAGGTGTGTGGAGTAAGGAGACAACTAATCCATGACTGTTTGTGGGACGCTGCTGTGTGCAATTAACTGCATCGTTTTGCCCACAAAATATACAGTCAATCCACTTCACAATATATTGTAGACGTCTCAAAAACGTGATAAGGCGCTTGATTAAATGCAAGGATTATGATTATTATTAACCCTTTTCTTTGACTGTGTCTTCAATCAACACCCTCGCGCTTCAAGATGTTTGTTCGGGCAGCCAGGTGCAGAACCCCATCAATGTGCTTAAGAGTCTGAGGGACACACCCTCCTGACCTAATTCCGAAGAGTATTAGGCTTAGGGTGGTAAGAGCCAAGGCTTTGAAAGGCATTGTGTAAATGTGAATTTTGCCCATCTTCCTCGTGGAAGGGAGTAAAGAGTTAATACATTTATAGCTCATTATAAATCCAGATTTAGATTTTTTTTTCTGTATTAGAACGTCCTTCCAAGAAATACTGATTACTCAAAGGGGGGAAGGGTGGCACTGGGGGTGGGGGGGTGGGAATGTGCTTTACCTAACTCAGCCATTCGAAGGACAATGACTGCAGAGTGTGACTCAGTCTCTCACACTCTTGCCTCTAAATTAGACGTTTGTGGGATTGAGCCCCACATCATGGATTTTGACGCTCACTGCATCACTGAGGGGTGGTGGGGGGGAGGGCTTTTGTTTCAGATGAGACGTCTGAGCCCTGTTCAGGTGAACGTTAAAGATCCCATATCACCATTGGAAAAGAGAAGGGAGTTTTTCTCTCTCTCTCACTCGCTCTCTCTCTCTCTCCCCCCGGTGACCTAGCTAACAATTCCCCAAATAAAATTGGTCACTCACTTGATGGCTGTCTGTGGGACACTGCTGTGTGCAACCGGCTATTGCGTTACATTACAAAATACACAAAGTGGGAAGTGCTTTGAAACATCCTCCTGAAGTAAAGGCTGCCGTACCGGATATATGGATTATTATTATGCTTTTTTAACACGGCAGCTAATTTGCGCTCCACAACATAATGAGTGGAATAGCCTAGTTTCTGTTTCTCAATCATTTCTGAGTCAAACCTAATCAGTATTTCAACATCCCAACGTACTGCTATTTATACTCAATCCAGTGAGATGCTGTTTGTCCTTTTGTGGTCTGTGCCTCTCTGAGCCCCTTTTTATACTCTCTGGGCCCCTTTGTGGAGTCCTGTAGGTTATTGTGGTTAGCGCGCTCACTTTCAAGTGTGATACCCGGGTTCGATTCCCAGGTGGGGTGAAACCTTAGGCAAGTTTCCTTAATCCACATGCCCCTGTTTACCTAGCAGTAACCTAGGAACCTTGGCGGATTGCTTTCTGAATGTAATAATCCTTCCCCTCCACCCCCCCCCACCCAAAAAAAAATTGGTTGCTCAATTCACGACTGTTTGTGGGACACTGCTGTGCTCAATTGGCTGTCGAGTTTCGCCCACAAAACACACATTTTTTTTAGGTTTTGTTACCCCCGGAAAGCGATCCACCAATCGACTGACAACCGAGTTCCTACTTACTGCTGAACAGAGACTTGTGGAGTAAGGAAACGTGCCTAAGGTTTTGCCTGGCTGGGAATCGAACCCGGGTCCTCTTGTTTTGCCAGGCGAGGCGCTCTAACCACTGAGCTACAGGACTCCACACGGGTCAGATATCTGACTGTTTTAGAAACAAATAAAAACGTATTTCCTCGTCTCCTGGTTGCGCTAACACACGCCTGGTTTCCTTGTTGTCAGGAGCAGTTCCGTGTCCCCGGGCGCAGGCTGCGTGAGGACAGCAGGAACGTCCCGCTCACCTTCGTCAACGGTCGTCACGACGACCGCCTCCTCCTCTTCGACGACTGCCTGGGCGTGATTCAGGTAAATGATTTTACAGGGTCTCGGCTGGGGCGGGTGGGGGGAAAGGAGGCCATTGAGTGTCACTCTGTAACTCCGCACGCTGAGCAGGTCAGTGTTAAATTAGCAGTTAGCTCTCGGCCCTGTGTGCTTGTATCTCCCATCAGACAGAATCAGTAATAAATAATCTGGGGATTGTTACTCCCGGAGCGCTTTCCGGGGTTAATAACCCCCTTGAAAACAAAAGTAAATTTCAAAGAAAATAATTATGTAGTCACTCAATCCACGACTGGTTATGGGACACCTTCTGTGCGCAATTGGCTGCCTCGTTTCGTGTTACAGGCTCTGGATCAAGCACGATGGTTAGAACTTGGCAGTGATATTGTGCACAGGATGGTCTCGCAAACCACCGTGAGGTGAACGAGCGATTAATTTGTCAGCCAGACTGACGCTAAAGTAAGTGATTTAATGAGAGCGCAGAGCAGAATTTCACCCCATTCAACAGGCACTCCCTTGGAAGGTTATATCACTGAGATAAAAGAATTTCATGTCACTAGAAATTCGGGTTTTTCTACCTTACAAGATAGATATTTGAGAGGTCTCAATGATATGATAAGACGGTATATCAAATGTAAGGATTATGATTTTTACTGGTTCTTACTACATAGCCTTCCAGTGCATTACACATGCACCTTAGAAATACCTAAATTAAGTAGGTAACCCGGTTGCTAGCCAATTGCCGGATCACTTTCCGAGGGTAACGATCCCTATTTTGGTCACTTAACTGTCTGTGGGACGCTGCTGTGCGCAGTTGGCTGCTACGTTTTGCAATTCACTTTACAGTATATTCTGTGAAGCGCTTTGAGACGTCTCAATGACGTGATGAGGTGCTACTTTAAATGCAAGGATTATTATTAATAACTTCCACTGCTCCTATCACGACAGAATGTCTCAAAGCGCTTCACAGGGAATTTCTGGCAAGTGTATTGTATCTGTAGACAACGACAACTTGCATTTATATAGCGCCCCTCACGCAAAGCAGTGTCCCAGAGCGCAAACGTGGCTGGCGATTTGCGCACAGCAATGTGCCCCACACAGAGCAGGTGTCTCTCTGCTCAGCTGCTCACACTCTCTCTCTCTCTCCTCTGTGTCAGAAGTTTGTGGGTTTGATTTCCCATCAGGGACTTTGCGGTCACAGTCTAGGCGTGGTATTGGGGTATTGGTATTGGGGGAGGCTGCATTGTCAGAGGTGTTGTCCTTCAGATGAATCGTCAATAACATTAATAATAATCCTTGCATTTAATACGGCGTCTTATCACATCATTGCGACGTCTCAATTTTAAAGCGAACAGAATGAGGCCAGTTTCTGTTTTAAGAACAGCAACAAAAAAAGACTTGCCAGATTAAGGCTATCTTTGTCTTTTTGCTCAGCCGAGCGTCTGACACACTTGGATACCCATCACCACCGTGCTTTAGAGTCTCCAAACCAAGCTGAGAATTCCCTGCATCCATCCAGAGAAAATCCCAGAGATAGATTGTTGGAATGGAATGCTCTCTCTCTCTCTCTCTCTCCCTCTGGAGGGACGCCCCCACTGCTTACCTAATTCTGGAGAGTATTAGGCGCAGGTTGGTGAGAGCCAAGGCTTGGTGGGGGTGGGGGAGAGGAAGCCCAGAGTGTAGGGGTAACTGCTGGAGTCTAACCAGCTAAACCCACACACAGCTCGGCCATCGAGAGCGCTGTCTGGCAACTGGAGCCTTGGGTGTGTCAGTGTTGGCCTGGAGCACCACCTGTTGGGGGAATATAGTCATTTCCCATAACAAGCCTCTGCAGAAGCCGTTCAAGGCAATCGGCCACCCTGGGCAAGTCTGTAGTGATCACCCCTCCCCCACTGCCGCCACCCACCTTTCCTATCCTCTTAGAAGTTCCAGAGTCCTGCAGCGCAGTGGTTAGAGCCCTCGCAAGGGAGAGACCCGGGTTTGCTTCCCAGGCAGGGGGCGAAACGTTGGGCGAGTTTCCCTACTCTACACTCCTCTGTTTACCCAGCAGTAAGTAGGAACCCGGTTGGTAATCGATTGGCGGATCGCTTTTCCGGGGTGGGGGAGGTAATAATCCCTTCAAATAAATCAATAAATAATAACAATAATAATAATTTGGTCACTCAATCTACGACTGCTAGTGGGATGCTGCTGTGAGCAATTGGCTGCCACGTCTCGCCCACAAAATACACAGTCAATTCACTTGAGGCTATGTTCTGTGAAGACGTCACGAAGACGCGATAAATCGCTGTATGAAGTACAAGGATTATTATGGTAATAGACTTTGATTTCTCTCTGTCTCTCTGTAGGGCTCTGATGCTAACAGTTATAAACTGGATACTGTGTGGGTGGAATCTCTACCAGGGACGAACTCGGAAAAGTGAGTTTGGCTGCGTTCAAAACACTTCACAGATAATTCACAGACAGTCAAGTTGTAGTGACTGTGTTTGTAGGCAAATATGGAAGCCATTTTGCGCACAACCATACCTAGAACGACGATCCCATTAAAACGGGCCTCGGTAAAGCACAAGTTAACGGTGCTCCCTCGGAAACTGGAAGTGACATCGGCGGTGATCTGATGACCAGGAAATCGGACCAGCAGCCATTTTGTGTGGGCCTGTTATAATGTGGCATCTAAACGATAATAAATAATAACAATCCTTGCTTTTGATATAGCGCCTTATCACGCCATTGAGGCATCTCAAAGCGCTTCACAAGATATAGTGGATTGACTGTATGTTTTGTGGGCGAAACGCAGCAGCCAATTCCGCACAGCAGCGTCCCCGCAAACAGTGGCGGAGTGAGTTGACCAAATTATTCATATTTATTTTTAATTACTTCCAGGCATCAATTGAAGATTATTGTCCCGGAGGAAGACTTTGTACTCAATGCTCAGGACCTCAAACACAAGGTGAACGAATGAGATAGATTTAGCGACTGTATCTTCGTAGGCAAATGCAGCAGCAGCACAATTGCGCACAGCAATGTCCCACGTGGAGTGAGTGACCGGTCGTATCTGGGGGATTGTTGGCCACGACACCGGGAGACAATTTTCCAAGAGCGAAGCGGAATCTCTAACGTCCGCCTGAACAGGTAGACAGGTCCTTGGTTTAATGTCTCATCCAAAGGACGGCACCTCCGACAATGCAACCACCACCCCCCCACCCACAGCGCTGCATTGGAGGGTCAGCTTAGACTATGTCCCGAAGTGGGGGCGAGAGAGAGTGCTACCACTGAGCCGCGCTGAGCGACTGTGTGCCGTGTGAGGTGAGTGTGCGTTGACAGGTCTCTGTGTCCTGCCCCCAGACTCTGTGGCTGTGGAAGCTGAACCAGGCGGTACTGCAGCACGTACAGGGACAGCTGAACTTCCCCCTGTGGGGCGGGGGAGAGGGGCAGGTGTCAGGTACCCCTCAGACCAGCCGATTCGCTGTCCACACCTTCGTGGCTGACTCCCGCTTCAAAGGCGCCCTGTACGAGGGAGACTGGAGCTGGGGAAAACCCCACGGAAGGTTAGTGTGACAGTGAGCGAGTGTGTGACAGTGAGTATGTGTGTGACTGAGTGTGTGCGTGACTGTGTGCGTGACTGTGTGTGTGACAGTGAGTGTGTGTGTGTGACAGTGAGTGTGTGTGTCACAGTGAGTGTGTATGACAGTGAGTGTGTGTGACAGTGAGTGACAGTGAGTGTGTGTGTGACAGTGAATGTGTGCGTGACAGTGTGTGTGTGACAGTGAGTGTGTGTGACAGTGAGTGAGTGTGTGTGACAGTGAGTGTGTGTGTGTGACAGTGAGTGTGCGCATCAGTGAGTGTATGTGTGAGACAATGAACGTGTTTGTGTGAGTGATAGTGTGTGACGATATGTGCTTCAGAGTATGAGGCAACGCGTGATGGTGTGACAGTGTGTGTGAGTCACTGAGTGTGTGTCTGCGTGTGTGCTCATGCAGGTGTAGGTGTCTGCGCGTGTACGAATGAAAGTGTGTGAGAGAGGTTGAGTGTATGTGAGAGATTGGGTGTCTGATAGTGCGCGTGTGTGTGAGAGAGAAAGAGAGAGAGAGAGAGAGACAGATTGGGTGATGCCTTCAGCCCCCAAACTCTGGAACTCTCTCCCTCAATCCCTCCGCCTTGCCCCACCTTCAAATCAAGCGCTCCAGGACACTACCCTGTGTGAAGGGCGCTATATAAATACAAGTTGCCACGAGTGTTGTGTGGGTGTGACTGAAAGAATGTGTGCGTGACACCAGATTCCAAACTAAGACCGGATTGAAGAATCTTCCACTGTTCTGCTCCGCCTTAAATGTTACGCCAATGGGGTCGGTTGGTCAAGCTGAGCCTATTCCAGTTTTGAGCTCAGCGGCCAAGGGCAGGGTGTGCATCAGTGACCGGTGTCTGTGTTTCAGAGGGACCATGAAATGGCCTGACGGGAGGAACTACACTGGGCAGTTTAAAGAAGGCCAGGAAAATGGGTAAGAGCAACTCGAGGCGAGCGTGAGGCTGTCTAAAGTCCCGATCTGCTTCCTCCGCTCCTCTGTCCCCAGCCTGCAGAGCAGGTTGACGGGTGACCTGATCGAGGGCTTTAAAATGATGAGAGGTTTTGATCGTGTCAATAGGGAGAAAATTGTCAACTTGGCTTGTATTCCCTTGAGTTTAGATGATTGAGGGGTGGATTGGAGTCATGTAGCGTAGTGGTTAGAGCCCTCGCCTCGCGAGAGTTTGAATACTGGGCAGGCCAAACCTTTGGCAAGTTTCCTTATTCCACATGCCTCTGTTACCCAGCAGCGAGTAGGAACATGTTTTTTTAGCCAATTAGCGGATCGCTTTTCCAGGGGCAATAATTCCTTCAAAACAAATTATAACTCACTCAATCCACTTGTGGGACCGCTTATTATAACTGAGTTTAAAATAATAAAGAGCAGCTACAGAGAAACTATTTGCTCTGGAGGGGAATCCAGAACAAGGGGCGTCATCTTAAAATGAAAGCCGGGCCATTTAGCAGTGAAATCAGGGGCAGTTTTTCACCCAAAGGCCAGTGGAAATATGGAGCTCTCTCCCCCAAAAGGCTGAGGATGCTGTATCCATTCACATTGTCAAGACTGAGGTGGATTAGATGTTTGTTAGGTCGGGGGATCAACGGATACGGGGCAAAGGTGGGTAAATGGAGTTGATATACAGATCAACCGTGATCTTATAGAATGGCAAAACAGGCTCGAGGGGGGGAATGGCCTCCTCCTGTTTCTATGTGAGTTTTACTGTACAAGTCGTGTGTTGTTCCAGGTTCGGTGTGTATGTGTGTCCGGGCCCCGAGGAGACCTTTGACTGTTACAAGTGCCATTGGGAGGAAGGAGTGATGCATGGTTACGGGATCTGTGAGTAAGTATCGATTCCCGACAGCGCAGGATTTTGTCAATGTCTCGCTTTGGAAGCTTGCACTCTCTGCTCTGGGTCAGGGGTCCCTTAATGTAGTAGTTAGAGCGCTCGCCTCACAGGGGAGAGGACCCTGGTTCAATTCCCGGAGCAGGGAAATATCTTAGGCAAGTTTCCTTCCTCCACACACCATGTGGTCACTCAAACCACGACTGTTTGTAGGACACTGCTGCACGGAATTGGCTGCCGCCACAAAAAAACACAGTCAACCCACTTTACTGCAAAGCGCTTTGAGACGTCTCGACGACACATGATAAGGCACTCTATCAGATGCGAGGATTATTATTATTATATTGTTATTATAAGAAATAGTTTGATGCTTTAACGGGAGGGCGGTTGAGCGGGGATTCTGCTCGGATGGGATCAAAATAGGCCGAAGGGTCATCTTAATAATAATAATAATAATAATCCATTTGATATAGTTTCTTATCATGTCTTCAAGACGTATCAAAGCGCTTCATTCATTCCCCAACCAATCTTGTGATCTTGCCAGGTATGGGAACAGCACCACCTACAAGGGATATTTTCGAGACAACCGCCGACACGGGTTTGGGATCCTGTGCAGCTCCACCTCGGAGAAGCCAGCCTTTAAATATACAGGACACTGGGAAGATGATAAAAAGGCTGGATATGGAGTGTTCGATGATCTGGACAGGTAAGAGCAGCCCGTGTGAGCGGATATGCTTTGCTGTGCGTCGAACTACAAGGTGCAACTTTGGTGTCAGTCACCGACCCTATCCTCGGGAGGTGGGGGAAGCAGGAGCTGAACTGGCTTCAAGGTGACATGCTTGACAACGGATTGTCGGAATCGAGCCAGCCTTCCTTGACGATCTCTAGTATAGGTTCCTGAGCCAGGCAGGTGCACTGTATCCCAGGGCACTGCTGATGACAGCACAGCCCGGCCTGGCCCATCGGCAGGACCTGGAAGGGCTGACCAGTCACTGGGGGCAGGGAATCCTCCCACTCAGCTCCTGATAACCCTACAGCCAAAGCCCTAATGGCTAGGGTGGTCCTAGCTGGACAAGCAGCGGGAAAGCTTGCCAGACAGCCCACAGAAACAATCTACCCAAACTATACAGCGCCTTTCATGTCGGGAGGAGGTTTCACAGAGCCATCTGAGAGCCCGATTTGGTGGTGGAGCTGAGGAGGGTGAGGGGCAGGGCTCCAGGATGGTCTTTAAAGAGAGCGCAGGCAAAATAGCTGAAAGCTCACATTTACACAGATGTAGGACTCACAGTCTGGTTTGGATACTCTGAAACACAGTGATGGGTTTCCGCATGTGTCAGGCTCATCAAAATAAAAAAATCGGAATTTTTATCTAAATTTCGATGCAGTCTTAAATTCCAGGACAAATGGTCTCACAGGGCTGAGACTGGGCGGAATTTAGGGCCTTTGGGGGTTCAGTTCGCAACTTTTTAAGTGCCAGTTGACAGTTAGTGGTATGTCCCAGCTTTCGACAGTCTGAATTGTTTACCACCTTCCGCCCACGAAACTCACAGTCAATTCACTTTACAGTGTATCCTGTGAAGCGCATTGAGACGTCTCGAAGACGTGATAAGGCTGCAGCAAATGCAAAGATTATTACTATTATTAGTAATACTAAGCGGCCACTAGGTAGCAGTGCACTCACTGACAGTAAGTAAGTAGGAACCCGGTTGCTAATCGATTGGCGGATCGCTTTCCGGGAGTATTAATCCCTCCAAATAGAATTGGTCACTCAAACCACGACCTGTTTGGGGGGGCGCTGCTGTGCGCAGTCGGCTGCCGCGTTTCCCTTGCAAAATATACAGTCAATTCACTTTCCAGTGTGTTCTGTGAAGCGCTTTGGGACGTCCTCCTGACGTGAAAAGCGCTATATCAAATGCAAGGATTATTATTATTATAATAACTCTTATTATCTAAAAAAAATCCCTTTTCTTTAAGACGTATTAGACATTGTAATGGTATCACGAGTTTTTGGTCACCCTGTACATCAAATGTCAGGATTGTTCTAAATCTCTCTGGTCATTATACACAGAGGAGAGAGATACATCGGCACGTGGACAGAGAACTACAAACACGGACCTGGCATTGTCATCACACAGTCAGGACTCTGCTACGAAGGAAAATTCCACTACAACAAGATGGTGGTGAGTAGGAGCCGGTCGGTCAGTCTGCGATGGGACACACTGTATCCTCTCACTCGTTTTCAAACCCCTCCATACCCTGGCACCTCTCTACCTCTCCGACTTGTTTACCTCCCACTCCACCACCCGCTGCCTCCGCTCGGCTGGCTCCGGCCTCCTATTTGTTCCTCGTCCCCTCTGCTCCACCGTTGGTGGCCGTGCCTTCAGTCACTACGCCCCGAAACTCTGGAACTCTCTCTCCCCCAATCCCTCCGCCTGGCCCTCTCCCTCCCCGCCTTCAAATCCCACCAAAAGACCTTCCTTTTTGATCATGCTTACGGTCAACTCCCCCCCTCCCTCTCCCACTGCCAAATGCTCCGGGACACTATCCCACGTGTAGTTGTAGCTCTGCCTCTCCCTTTGCCAAACCCTCTCAGTCGAATCGGTTGTACTTGTAGGAACATTTTTGTCCGAACAGAAACCTTGTGAGGCTAATAGATGTGGCAGCCAATGCAAGAATTATTAGTGCCTCGTAAGTGGTTTTGTTCGTGTGTCACCTGCAGGGCTCCGGAAAGATTCTGTCTGAGGATGATCATGTCTATGAGGGAGAGTTCTCAGAGGAGCTGGTGCTCACTGGGAAGGTATGTGTCAGGCTTCTACCCCGTGACCACAGCCGTCAACTCATTATACACGCACAACCCTGACCTTCTGACTTGGAAACGAGAGCACACATAATAATAATAATAATCCTTGCATTTGATATTAGCGCCTCATCGCGCCTTCGAGACGCCTCAAAGCGCTTCAAAGTGTAGTGACAGTGTATTTTGTTAGCAGGACGCGGCAGCCGATTGCGCACGGCAGTCAAAACAAGCGGCTCATTCTGTAACCGCTGTAACGTAATTTGTTGTTGTTTTTGTTGTGTTCCAGGGAAAGCTCAGCTTCCCCAATGGGTACGTGATTGAGGGATTGTTCAGTAACAAGTGGGGGAGTGGGCTGCGGACAAACGGAGTGTTTTCCAAACTTGACGAGCAGACCACACCCGGGGTCAACAGCAAACTGTGAGTAATACACCCCGCATTTGTCTTCGACGCATCAAATCGCTTTACAGGATATAACAGCAGCAAATTACTTTTGCACAGCGCCTTTCACGTCAGGAGGACGTCCCAAAGTGCTAAGATAGTCAGTGATTGCAAACCTGTACGCTGTAAAGCGAATGGACTGTATATTTCGTGGGCGAACGCGGCAGCCAATTGTGCACAGCAGCGTCCCATAAACAGCCGTGGATTGAGTGACTACATTTTTTTTTGAAGGGATTATTACCCCCCCCCCGGAAAATCGACTAACAACCGGGTTCCTACTTACAGCTCGGTAAACAGAGGCACGTGTGTGGAGTAAGGAAACTTGCCCAACATTTCGCCCTGCCCGGAGGTCAAACCCAAGGTCTCTCGCTTGCGAGGCGAGTGCTCTAACCACTGAGCTACAGGACAGTTCACTGTGATTACTGAATATTCAGTAACTGTGAAGTGTAGTGACCATATTTTGTGGGTGCAAGCGGCAGGCAGTTTGCACACAGCAGCGTCCCACAAACAGCCATGGAGTGAGTGACCAATTTTATTTTGGGGATTGTCGGCCAGGAAACCGGGTGGGGGGTGCGAGGGGGAAAGAGAGAGAAATACTCTTCTCTTTTCGAATAGAAACGCAGGATCTAAACGTCCACCTGAACAGGAGCTCAGTTAGACATCACATCTGAAATATCTGAAAAGGAGAAATATAAAAGTTGTTGTGTGTGGGGGGGGGGGGGGCGGGGACTGTACTTTCCATATCAACCAGTCCACCTCCCTCCGCTCAGCGGACTCTGGACTGCTCCACATCCCCCGCTCGGCCCTCCCCACCATCAGTGGGGAGGTGGGATGCAGTGGTTGGACCTTCCCCTCCGCTCCCACCCTCTGGAACCCCATCCATCAGTCCCTTCGCCTCGCTCCCTCCCTCGCCTCCTCCAAGGCACGGCTCAAGACCCTCCTCTTCGACCGCGCCTTCGGTCACCCTCCTGCCCCTACCCTCCCCGCCCTCCACCTGCCCCCAACTCCAAATACCTGACTGTCCAGCGCCTTGGGACGTCTTCCTGACATGAAAGGCGGCGTGTAAATACAATGTGGTGTTATTGTTGTTGTAAAGGTTCTTTGGTTGGTGTAGCTGAATGCCGGTTGACTGATTGCATTTCCAAACTGCTCTGTCAATATCTCGGCGATTTCACGTGGGGTTTTTTTTAATGAACTTTTCTTCCAGACAACTGGGCAGCCAGATAATAGCCGCGGAGGAGCGCTGGCGGGGAATCTACCAGCAGTTTGAGGACTTCCTGAAGTCCGGCTGTGTGGAGACATCCTCGGAATCCTTCCTGGGATTTCACTCCGAGAACAGCCGGGATCCGCGGAAAAATTTGAAGGAGCGAGAGAGCAGGGAGGAGGTGGGATGGGACACAGAATCAGAAACGGCAGCCAGCGGCGACCAGGGATATCTCTACTGTGACCGGTGTGTGATTGTGATTGAAAATTATTATTAATTATTATTATTAGGCAATGCTCACAGCCCAGCCTGGCTCATCGGCAGGACCTGGAAGAGCAGACCATTCACTGGGGGCAGGGAATCCTCCCACTCAGCTCCTGCTAACCCTGCAGCCAAAGCCCTAACGGGTATGGTGGTCCTAGCTGGACAAGCAGCGGGAAAGCTTGGCCAGACAGCCCTCTCAATGACCGAGCTATGTGGTTTTAGCTGCTTAGACTCCAGCAGTTACCCCAACACATACTCTTGAGGTCCCTCAAGCCTTGGTTCTTGACTAATACTGCGCCTAATACTCTCCGAAATTAGGTAATCAGAATTCATCTCTCCAGGGAGAGAGAGCGCATTCCATTCCAACAATCTGTCGCTGTGATTTTCATGTGTAGGTGGGATGCAGGGAACTCTCAGTTTGGTTTGGAGACTCTTAAGCAGTGAGGATGGATTTCCACACACGTCCAACACTCGGCTAACCGCAAAAAATTATTAAAAATAATAATAATAATTTGAGAGGTTGTCTCAAATCACTTCACAGGATTTACAGTAAATTGTAGTGACCGTCTTTCCTAAGCAAACTTGGCAGCCAATTTGCACACAGAAATCTCCCACAACAGCCATGAAGTAAATGACCAGATTTTTTTCAAAGACGGGATCTTTAACATCCACCCAAACAGGACATAATAATAATAATAATCCTTGCATTTGATATAACGCCTCATCACGTTATTGAGACGTCTCAAAGCGCTTCACAGAATATACTGTAAAGTGGAGTGAGTGTATATTTTGTGGGCGAAACTCGGCAGCCGATTGTGCACAGGACCCCGGTTCGATTCCTGGGCAGAGCAAAACATTAGGCACGTTTCCTTACTCCCCACGCCTCTGTTTACCCAGCAGTAAGTAGGAACCCGGTTGTTATTCGATCAGTGGATCGCTTTTCCGGGGGGTAATAATCCCTTCAAAAAAATGTAAAAATTAATAATTTGGTCACTTCAATCCACGGCTATTTGTGGGACACCGCTGTGTGCAATTGGCTGCCATGTTTCACCCACAAAATTCACTTAACACTACACTCTGTGAAGCCCTTTGAGACGTCTCAACGACGTGATGAAGTGCAAGGATTATTATTATTATTGTAACCAGGTCTGTTCGGGCGATGCCCTTTGTATCTTTTCAGGCAGAAACCGACCGAAGGTGAGAATAAGTCCCCAGAAGGGAGTTCCAGGAGAGAAGAGCTGAGTCTGAGGGAGCAGGTGAGACTGGTGAGTACAACATGAGAGGTGTCGAGTGACAACAACAACAACTTGCCTCTACACCGCAGCCCCCATGAGGGCGGCATCTCAGACAGCTTGACAGTGGTGGAGCACGACCCCGAGCCGGTGGGATGGGGGAGGTGACCGTAGGCACGAGCGAAGAGGAAGGTCTTCAGGCGCGACCTGGAGATGGGGAAGGGAAGGGACAAGGCGGAGGGATAAAGAGAGAGTGTTCCAGAGTGTAAGGGCGTAGTGGCTGAAAGCACAGACTCTTCAACAATCACCCTCCGCAAGTTGTTGTTGCTGATGTCGGGGCCCACACACTTGCTGGCCGAAAGCTTTGGCCCCAACACCAAGGCTCCTATCGTGAGGTGTTTCCTCCTGTTGTTTCAGGCGCTCGAGTCAGCCCACCACCCGTTGGGGAAGCTTCTGCACATGGTCACCCTGACCTTCCAGGCCTCCTACTCCGGAATCGGCACTTACAAGAGGCTCCTGTCCCTGGCTCGACAGGAAGTCGTCACTCACGCCCAGACACTGCTTATACTGAGCAGGTCAGTGTCGCTGCGTAAGGCCACACACTGAGCAAGTCAGTGTGGAGTCCTGTAGCTTTGCTGTGGAGTTCCGTGGCTCCGTGGGTCACTCAATCCACGACTGTTTGTGGGGCTCTGCTGTGCGCATTCGGCTGCCGCGTTTCACCCACAAAATGCACAGTCAGTTCACTTGACAGTATATTCTGTGAAGCGCTTTGAGATGTCTCGAAGACGCGATGAGGCGCTGTATCAAACGCTAATCAATTTAATATTTAATATCAAACTTAAGTTAAATTTAAATTAAATTTAATATCAATTTAATATCAAATGCTAATCCGCTGATCGACTAACCGGGTTTCTACTTACTGCCGGTAAACAGAGGCGTGTGGAGTTAAAAAAAACAACTTACCTGCCCGGGTATCTATCCCGGGTCCTCTCGCTTGCATGGGGAGCGCTCTAACCAATACGCGACAGTCCTCCACAAAGTTTAAGGCCAGGACAGGGACGGCTCAGGCTGACGCTCCAGTGCAGTGCTGGGCGGGGAGCGCTGCATTCGCGCAGGTGTCGTCCTTTGGACGAATCTTTACCCGACTTTACTGTGTTTGTGTTTCAGGCGTTTCTTCTCTACCTCACCACAGAATGACGTGACCTCACAAGACAGGTAACACGGGGCGGGGGAGGCGGAGAGAGAGAGGGCGAGTGGGGGATGGGGGAGTGGGGGTACAGACTTCAGAGCACTGTAACGGAGTCTCAGTCTCTGTCTCTCTCTCTCTCTCTCTCTCCCTGTTTGTCAGTGAGGAGCAGACCCCATTCACCGTCACGTTGCCCCTGCTCTTGCCTCACCTCTACCCCGACCTCTTCATGATGTACATGTTGTACCACGAGCCGGGCGACGCTCTGTACTGGAAAGGCATCGTTCACCTGGGCCTTCTCCCCGACCTCAAACTCCTCGAGTTCCTGGAGGTTCAGAAGTAAGTGTCTGTGCTGGGGTTCGCTCCACCACTGGAGCTCTCTACTCTAACCCCAATTCCCTGCTCTCACTCCCCATCGTTTGCTACCTTGCCGATTCCCTTTGTTGTTCACACGGCTCAGACTGACTTGTCCTGTTGTAACTGTTTTGCTGCTTCTCTTCAGACACCTGTGGCCTCTTCAAGATCTTCATTTGACAAAAAATCAGGTCAGAACTCAGCATGTTCCTGATTACCAACCGTGTTAAACCCTGGGTTTCAGTCGCTCTCCGTCCCTCCAAATCCCTATCTCCGCGTCCGCAACTCGGGTGCAAACCCTTGACTGTTCAACACATTATTATTATTAATGTAATTTGTTGTTGCCCCCACCTCGGGCTGACGTGAGAATGGGTAATAAAGGCTGGCAACACACAGGGTCACCTGTAAAACCCTGTGATTTAGTCACTCTGACCTGGGGCTGCGCACTCTGTGTCTCCACAGAGAAAGTCCATTGTGAAAGACGTGTGCTTCGAGTCGGCGATCGAGTGTCTCCAGAAGATAAGGTGAGTGAGGTGAGAGCGAGTGAGTGAGGGAAGAGAGGGAAGGAGTGAATGACAACAACAACAAATGACATTTACACAAAGCCTTTCACATCAGGAGGATGTCCCAAGGCCTTGGACAGTCAGAGATTTGGACCCGAGCTAGGGGTTGGGATCAGGAGGGATGGAGGGCAGGTACGAGCGTGACCGAAGGCGCGGTTGAAGAGAAGGATCTTGAGACGGGCCTTGAAGGAGGCGAGGGAGGGGGTGAGGCGAAGGGACTGTGGGATGGGGTTCCAAAGGGTGGGAGCAGAGAGAGAGGCTGAAGGCCTGACCGCTGACGGTGGGGCAGGCCGGGCGGGGGAACGTGGAGCAAGCCGGAGCCTGCTAAGCGGAGGGAGCGGACAGGTTGAGATGGGGTTAGATCTGACCTATTGCCTTGACACGGGGCCCACAGCAGCACAGCGGATGCCCAGGAGAAGATGGACACCATCATGAAGACGTACGGGGAGATTGAGCACACGGTGACGCGGGTGCTGAGGAGAGAGTACAACCTCCCCATGGACGACCTGCTGCCCCTCCTAGTGTACGTGGTCTCCCGAGCAAGGTAAGACCACACCAAATCCCTTAACATTGCCCACCTCCGCCACGACCTCTGCCCTCAGACCACCGAGTCCCTAATCCTTGCACTCATCAAGTCCGGGTTAGATTACTCCCAGCTGCTCACTGGACTACCCAACTCTTATCCAGAACTCTGCAGCCCGTGCAACCTCTCTCTCTCTTTCACTCGCACCGAGCTCCGAGAGCCTATCACCCCCCCCCCCCCCAACCCTCGCCCGACTCCACTGGCTCCCCGTCCCCAAGAAGGGCCTCATTCAAGGGCCTCCCTGACCGTGAAATCTCTCGTAGTCTTGTCCCACCCTCCTCCTGCGACCTCCTCAAAACAATACCAAACCTGCCGTTCCCTCTGCTCGATGGAGCGGAGGCAGCGGATGGTGGTGTGAGGGGGGGGGGGTGGGGGTAAGCAAGCCGGAGAGGTCGAGGGGTGCCAGGGCATGAGGGGGTTTGAAAACGAGTGAGAGGACGTTGAAATGCGTTGGGCGATTGGGAGCCAGTGCGGGCGTTTCCTGACTTCCCCTTCAATTGCTGGACCTGGTGATGATGTTAACGGCCGTTGATGTTGTCTCTTTGCTGTAGGATCCAGCGGTTGGGAGCAGAGCTGCACCTGATTCGGGACATGATGGATCCGACCTGGGAGGGGGGCATGAATGACTTCCTGCTGACTGCCCTGGAGGTGAGCTGATCAAAGGTCATCAGGGACTGTCAAGACCCCCCCCCCATCAACCTTCCCTCCCAGAAATAAGGGACATTAGCTCAATAATTGGGTGTGACTTCGTCCGGCATTCCCTCCGCCTCGCTCCCCCCCTCGCTTCCTTCAAGGCCCGTCTCAAGACCCTCCTCTTCGACCGCGCCTTCGGTCACCCTCCTAACCCCCCCCCACCCTCCCTGCCCTCCACCCCACCCTCCGGATCCCAACCCCCAACTCGGGTCCAAATCCCTGACTGCCCAGCGCCTTGGGACATCCGACGTGAAAGGCGCCGTGTAAATGTAAGTGTAATCTGCTGCTGTTATTGTTATCGTCGTCGAACCCATGTCTTTGCGTTTTTTGACCAAATACTAAGTGATGAAAGTGACTTGTAACCACCAGCTCTCTTATCTTTTCCCCTTCCTTCCTTCCCTCCCCCCGCTCCCCACCCCCCCTCCACTCAACCCCAACGTTCTTTCCCTCCAGTCTTGTTACCAGCACATTCAGAAGGAGGAAATACGATTAGGTGCCTGTCTGAACAGTGTCTCCTGACAACACGTCACTCAGGAACGTGAGGCGAAACAACCCACACCACAACACTCAGACTTTTCCCAGGCACTCGCTATAAACTACACTGGCTGGCGGGTACTCTAACTCCACACACACACACACACCACAAACACACACCACAAACACACACCACACACACCACATACACAAAAAACACCTACACTCACACACACCACATACACACACCACACACACACACACACCACATACACAAACACCACCTACACACACACTCACACACCACATACACAAACACCGCGCGCACACACACACACACACAAACACCACACACAACGCACACACACACACCACATACACCACACATCACATCACCACAAACCACCCACACACTACACATAAACCACATACACACACCACATACACACACAATGCACATGTGCAGATGGCAATCAGGTACGAACCGGCCGGCCAAACGAAGGAAGGCTTCTTCTTCTGATGGGTGGTCTACTCCACGGGTCCTCTCCTCTCTAAGCCAAACAGGAGGGAATCACACAGCGCAGCGAGTCTGTCTGGTCAGGGAATGGACAGTGACTGAAAGGACAAGGAAAAATATCCAGCTCCTAGCCATCACACCTCTCCATATATCTCTCTCTTCTCTGTCTTACTTACTCTGGAGGCTCTTGACCATCAGGTGGGACACGTTCTGTCTTAACCGCTGACTGCAGAGGGTTCCACATCCCAACTGTTATATCAACAGCCAATCTCACAGCCAACACTTGTTTTCACTCTCATAATCTCATGACCCTCACGTGGTACTCAGCGAAAGCTGCTTCTGTCCGGAACCTCAATACACAGATGCACAGTCACAACACTTCACAGTAAAGTATCCCGTGAAGCGCTTTGAGACGTCTTGATGATGGGATAACAACTGCCATTTATTCATTGCGGGGCAACGACTCAAAGCGCTAAACGGAGGCGGAGCCAAATGTGGTATATGAGATGCCAGGCGGATTATTAGTTATTTCGAAAAGAGATTCACAAATGCCGAGGAAAGAGAAGGGGGTACGGGAGCAGAGAAGCACCAGTGTGGGTGAGCTAGCTCCACTGCAGACACGGCGGACTCTCTCGATGCTGTAATGTCCCGGATTGCATAATAATAATAATAATCCCTGCATTTGTCATGCCTTGTCATGCCAGAAGAACATCTCAAAGGGCTTCACATGATTTACTGTGAAATGCAGTGACTGTATATTGTTAGCAAAATGCGATACCATGGGCTGGGAGAGTCAGAGAGTCACACAGTCGTGTGGGGGGGAAACACGTGAACAGTTCAGGTGCAAACCCTCAACTGTCTGCCATGTGTTGTGGAGGGACGCGAGTTGCCCACTGAGCATTTGAGAGAAAGAACTTGTTTTAACAGTGCCTTAACATTGGGTCTTGGTCTTTCTCTCGTAAATTCATGTTCTTATCGTAAATGCCTGGAACAGGCTCCCCGTTAGGAAATAATATCGGGGATCTACAGTGTATAGTTTGGGAGGGAGCTGACATGTGCTTGCGACTGCTAGGATGGTTGAAAGCGAACTGAATGGACCTTGGTAGTGTAGTGACTGTTCTGTCGGGCAAACACAGCAGTCATTTTGCACACAATGTCCTGTATGCAGCCGCTAAGGTGAGTGAGCCAATTAATCTGAGGCTTGTTGACCAGGACACTGCTTTTCCTCAATATTATCATGGGATGGATGTTCAATGTCCTTATGGATTGCTGAGCGCCCTGGGGGGATGGGGGGGTAGGGTGGGGGGGTGTAGGGAGAGGGGATTTAGGCTAAATGTAATATATGACGGCAGCACATTATGAGGTGAGGGTGAAACACAATAATAGGATCACAAAAGATTTATTTATATGTGATATATATTAATAAACACTTTCCTTATAGCGCCGTAACGAGTGTATTCAATGGTTCTGCTTCGAATCACTGTCCAGAACCAGGGGACAGGATCTTAAAATTAGCGCGAGGCCGTTTAGGAGTGAAATCAGGCGGCAGTTTATAAACCTCACTTTAACGAACCCTCCCAGAGATTGTAACAAGAGATTGTTATGTCGGTGTTCACGATAGCACGGTTTAGCCGTCAGAGAGGGGCAAAATTGGGTCTTGCCTTTGCGATCATTAAAACCGGGGGTTTGTTAGAAGCAGAATTCGTTATAGTGAACTTGTACTGTAATTACATGAAAAACAATCTGCCAAAGTCGTTACTGTATTGTGTAGGCAAATGTTTTACATTGCAAGACTTGTCAAAGTCCTTTTGCCTTCTCTCTCAGTGTCGTCAGGGTGTTTAAACGATCCGGGGCACGTGAAGAGCGCTATACGATTCCAAGTTGTTATTGGCAATGTTTCATTTGGGTGCAGCATTCCCCAAGATCTGCCAAACAAAACCGAAATCAAACACGCCATTTGTCCGGTCCACGTAACGCACGACCGTTTAGGACGTACGCATTTTTTGGATAACCTTTTGGGTTTTCAAAAACCCTCACGTGATCTCTGGGGCGGCAGTGAAACCCATCACAGGCTCCAGACCCGTCTCAAGACTCTCCTCTTCGACCGTGCCTTCGGTCACCCTCCTACCCCCCCACCCTCCCTGATCCCCACCCCCCAGCTAAACGTGGCGTGTGGAGTAAGGAAACTCGCCTATGGTGTCGCCCTCCCGACCCGGGAATCACACCCGGGTCCTAATACTCTTCGGGATTAGATCAGCAGGAGGCGTCCCTCCCGGGAGAGAGAGAGAGAGAGAGAGTCCACATTGCATCCCATGTCTAGATAGCACACATCTGTAAATTCTAAGTCTGATTTGGAGCACAAACCGGGTTCTGTCAAAATGGTGTATATTTCGCTCCAGTAACTTGCTGTTGTAGTTTGTGGGGTGTGCGTCGGGTGGGGGCGGTGGGGGGGAACTTTATTATTAACATGGTTTGCACTTTAGGACCTGAATGTTGGATGATTTCTCCTCTCTGCGGTGTCATCTGCGCAGCTCCAGGTTCCAGAGCAGAGCAATGAATTGAGGGGGAAAAAAATTGGTACAAAGTTTTGATCTGGGACTTTTTATTACCAGATAAGTGACTCCAGACAATACGTTAAAGGCTGTCAGGCAGCCCTCAATCCACAAACCCATCGAGTTCCTCTTTATTAAAGAACGAGGCTCAAAGGTGGCGTAATTTCTGCCCACGTCCCTGTTTGTAGCGTGGATCATCAACAACAACAACAACAATCACCCTCGCATTTGATACAGGGCCTTATCACGTCGTTGAGACGCCTCAAAGCGCTTCACGGGATACACTGTAAAGTGGATTAACTGTTAATTATTATCCCTGGAAAGCGATCCGCCAATTGACTAACAACTACTTACTGCCGGGTAAACAGAGGCGCCCGTGTGTGTGTGTGTGTGTGTGTGTGTGAGTGTGTGGAGTAGGACAATTTGCCTAAGGTTTCGCCCTGACCCGCCCGGGATTCGAACCCGGGTCCTCTCTCTTGCGAGGCGAGGGCTCTGACCCCTGAGCTACGGGACATCACGTGGCTGAAGGAGAGACGAGGCGAGGCTGGCACCACGGTATCACGTCAAGGCCGAGTCCGCCACCTCTCTGACCTCCCGCAGGAGGCCACCCGGGCTCGAACCCAGACCCGGACTGTCCACCTCGAGACGTGTGAAGTCGGCGTCCGCGAGGAGCGACTCCAGCGCAGCCCCGACCCGGTGCAGGTCGAACATCGCCTGGCGCCGTCCCAGCTCGGATCCCTGGGCCCCGCCCGGCCCCGGGTCCTCCAGCCCACTGTCCAGCCACTCCATCCGGTTCCTGGCGATGGTTTCCAGGAAGACGTAGAACTGGGAGAAGTCCATCCCCGTGCAGGACTTCATCATCACCTGGACCACGGCACAGCACGGGAGTCAAGTCACCGCGTCAGCCCGGAGCGGAATCGCCCCACAACAACAACAACTAGCGACACTTACACGGCGACGTTCGCGTCGGGAGGACGTCCCGAGGCGCTGGACAGTCAGGGATTTGGACCCGAGATGCGGGTTGGGATCAAGAGGGGGGTGGAGGGCAGGGAGGGCTGTCGAAGAGGAAAGTCTCGAGACCGGCCCTTGAGGGAGGCGAGGGAGGGGGCGAGGCGAAGGGACTGTGCGATGGGAGTTCCAGAGGGTGGGGGCAGAGAGAGAGAGGCTGAAGGCCTGACCAGTGGGGCTCAATCTCCCCAGTTACCTGACAGTGCTGGTGCCAGTCCGCCATGCTGTCTCTCCACTCCCCGATCTCGTCCTGGACTGCTGACAGCTCGGCCCTGAGGAAACGCCAGACTGTGTCCACGTTACAGCCATTCAGCCAGTTGTGGTTGACGGAGATGGTGTCCTCCTTAATAATAATAATAATACATTTGTACATAACACATTTCACGTCAGGAGGAACATCCCGATCATAATAAGAATCCTTGCATTTGATGCAGTGACGTCTCAAAGCGTTTCACAGAATATACTGTAAGGTGTGGTGACTGTGTATTTCGGGTACTTGGTGGGAGGTGCCATTAATTCCTTAAGATAACCCGTGGATTCTACTTCAGCTAAGCTTTGTGGCAGATTCTTCCCAATTCCCCTCCTGCCACCCAAAGCCCTGGCACTTGGAAACCCGTCGCCGTCGCTTAAGAGACTCCAAACCCAACTGAGAATTCCCCGCCTCCCAACTACACATGGAAATCCCAGAGATAGATGGTTGGAATGGAATGCGCTCTCTCTCTCTCTCTCTCTGGAGGGAGTCCCCCTGCTTACCTAATTCTGGAGAGTATCAGGCGCAGGTTGGCGAGAGCCAAGGCTTGGGGGTGGGGAGCCCAGAGCTTGTGCTGAGCCACGACTTACCAGATTGTGGACCTGATGGTACCAGCCGCTGGGGACAAAGAGGACCTCCCCGGGTTCCTGGATGACCTCGATGGGTGAGTGGCTCTGGGCGGCGCCTGGGTAGAGCTGGGGGTCCCTCAGGGCGGGGGACAAGACGTCGTAGGCCAGCGAACCCGCCCGGTCTCGCAGAGCAGCCTCTTCCCCCGGGGGGAACAGCAGCCATCGCTTCCGACCGCACAGATTGGCCGACCAGCTGTAGGAGCGGAAGACGTCAGCGTGGAACGGGGTCCTGGCGGGAGCGGAGGGGGGGGGGGGAGAGCGGGGGAAAGTGAGGGGTCGGGATCAGACAACAACAACTTACAGCGCCCCTCACGTGGGGTAGCGTCCCGGAGCGCTTGTCAGTGGCTGTGTCTGTGCATCTCCTGCCACCATCTCCGCTCCCCACCAAACTCCCCCAATAACCCCAATAACGTGGAGTCCTGTCAGTGGTTAGAGCACTCGCTTTGCAAGCGAGACACCTGGGTTCAATTCCAGGCAGAGGGCCAAACCTCGGGCAAGTTTCCTTTCTCCACACGTCTAATAATAATCCCTCCAAAACAAAACAATAATAAATTATTTTCAATCCACGGCTGTTTGTGGGGACGCTGCTGTGCGCAATTGGCTGCCGCGTTCGCCCACAAATATACAGTCAATTCACATTACAGCATATTCTGTGAAGCGCTTTGAGACGTCGAGAAGATGTGAAAAGCGCTATATCAAATGCAAGGATTATTATTGTTATTATCATAACCCACTCCTCAGCCCATAACCTCTCCCTCCATAACCCACCCCCTCAATCTACCCCCACAATAGCCCACCCCCTCAGTCTACAACCACCCCCTATAAACAAACTCAACCTTTCAATGTATATCCCCTCCCCATAACACTCCCCGTAGGGGCAACCCACCACTCCAGGTCCACAGTGCACACACACACACGCACACACACGCGTGTACACACACTGCAGCACACTCACCACGATCCCTTGGGCCCCATGTAGACAAAGCGGTAGTCATCCAACCGGATGGAATCCCAGTACTCGTTCAGCCAGTCAGAGCGGAAGAAGAGCGGAGTGCTGTAGACGCCGTGATCTGGGAAATCCCTGGGAAAACAGACACAGATCAGCCTTTACCCCGGAGATCCTGATCTGTTCCCCCCACCCTCTCTCCACCAGCCCCCACCCACCAACCCAGTGCTCAGGTACTAATGATAGCGAGCCTTACATTTGATACAGCGCCTCCTCACTTCGTTGAGACGTCTCAAAGGGCTTCACAGAATATACTGTAAAACGGAGTGACTGTGTATTTTGCGGGTGAAGCGCGGCAGTCAATTGCACACAGCGGCTTAAAGGTGCTTAACTTGAGTCTTGCCTGGGTGCCCGAGCTCGGGGTGAGAGCCGAGGAGGGTGGGAGAGGGCAAAGGTAACTGTGCACAGCAGCGTCCCACAAACAGTCCACATTTATTGAGTGACCACATTTTTGGGGGCGGGGGGGGGTGGGGGGAAGGTGGGTGTTGGTTTTGGGTTGGGTTTCGTCACGGTGCCTGGTGCAGGCCGTCCAACCTGTGCATGTGCCAGTCCTTCAGGTAGAGGCAGCCCCTGGGACTGGTGTGACCGTGTGCCCTGCGCTCCCGCCAGTAGCTCAGGTACTCGCTCAGCGTCAGGCTCTCCTTGGGGTTGGCGTTGTATTCCTGCACGTCACAGTTTGCCACAGGTACCACCGCATCACCTGGAGCACAACCAACAGCCGTGAGTGAGAGAATGAAAGAGAGAATGAGAGAGAGAGAGAGAAACAGAGAGATAAACAATAATAATAATAATAATCCTTGCATTTGATGTAGCACCTTATCGCGTCTTCAAGATACGTCTCAAAGGGCTTCACGGGATATACTGTAAAGTGAATTGATGGTGTATTTTGTGGGCGAAACGCGACGGCCAATTATGGACAGCAGCGTCCCACACACAGGCATGGACTGAGTGACCAAATTATTATTATTATTGTTCATTTTTTTCTCGAGGGATTATTATCCGTCGTGCGGAGTGAGCAAACTTGCCCAAGGTTTCGGCCCGGCCGGGAGTCGAACCCGGGTCCTCTCGCTCGAGAATGACACAGAGAATAAAATGCAGTCAGATTTTTTGGGGGGCGCGGGGGGGGGGAGAGGGTCGGCCGGGTGTCCGACGCGCGCGGAAACCCGTCACCGTTGCTCAAGGGTCAGCTGAGAATTCCCCGCATCCCAACGACACAGACTGTTGGGATGGAATGCGCTCTCTCTCTCTCTCTGGAGGGACCCCCCCCCCAGTTTACCTAATTCTGGAGAGTATTAGGCGCAGGTTGGCGAGAGCCATGGCTTGCGAGGGGGGGGGGGGGGGCAGCCTCGGCCATCGAGAGCGCTGTCTGGCCAACGCTTTCCCCGCCGCTCGTCCAGCGAGCACCGCGCCGCCTCCCCCCCTCCCCTTCCTCCCCGCCCCCCTCCCCATACGAGCAGGAGATCTCACCGAAGCGGTGCAGTAAATGCTGGAAGTCCGGGCCGCCGTCCTCCTGTACCCACAGCTGTCGGCCAGGCCAGGCCGCGGTGACGGAGCCCGACAGCACGCACGGCCGGTTCGGGACCAGGAACTCCCGGAAGAACCGGGAGTAGCTCAGCTCCGAGCCGCCCGGGCGATCAATCCCCCCGCCTCGCGCGAACTCCTCGTACGAGGGTCCCCCGGCGTCCCGGTAACGAGCCAGAGCCTCCCTCAGGGTCTCCTCGTCCATCGCCCGGCTCTCAGCGGCGCTCCGGCCCAACCCTCTGGGGGGGGGGGGGGGGGGGAGAGAGGGGGACAGCCATAACATATAATAATGTACAATAGTAACAATACTGATCCGCGCATTCGATACGGCGGCTCTCATCGCGTCCTCGAGACGTCTCAAAGCGCTTCGCGCGATGGATACACTGCGAAGTGCAGTGACTGTGTATTATTTTTCGAGGCTGACCGAAGTGGCTGTGGGCTCCCGCGCGGGCCGGACCTCTCTTGGAGATGAGGGAGGTTGGGGGGGGGTGAGGGTGGGGGGGTGATGGTGGGGGTGAGAGTGGGGGTGAGGTGGAGGGTGTGGGGTGGGGGTGAGGGTGAGGTGGGGGTGAGGGTGGGGGTGGGGATGGGGGGGTGAGGGTGGGGTGAGGGTGGGGGTGAGGGTGGGTGAGGGTGGGGGTGAGGGTGGGGGTGAGGGTGGGGTGAGGGTGGGGGTGGAGGTGGGGGTGAGGGTGGGGGTGAGGGTGGGGGTGAGGGTGGGGGTGAGGGTGGGGGTGGGGTGGGGGTGAGGTGGGGGTGAGGTGGGGTGAGGGTGGGGGTGAGGGTGGGGGTGAGGTGGGGTGAGGTGGGGGTGAGGGTGCGGGGTGGGGGTGAGGGTGGGGGTGTGGGGGTGGGGGTGAGGTGGGGGTGTGGGGGTGGGGAGGTGGGGGTGTGGGGGTGGGGGTGAGGGTGGGGTGGGGGTGTGGGTGGGGTGTGGGGGTGAGGTGGGGTGTGGGGGTGAGTGTGGGGTGAGGTGGGGGTGTGGGGGTGGGGTGAGGTGAGGGTGAGGGTGGGGGTGTGGGTGAGGGTGAGGGTGGGGGTGTGGGTGAGGGTGAGGGGGAGGGGGCGGGCACGAAATGTAAGATAGTTAGCAAATTGTTGTTGTTGTTGTTGTTGTTCTGCCCCAGGTTCCGCTCTGTCATCGAGTTGCAGTCGCAATGACCAGTGACCTGTGTCTGTACTCCTGGCCGGGAGCTTACTACGTGAGTGGCGAGCGGCGCTGGGCATATGGGACCCTCCAGATGACCCCCAGCCAACTGGTGTTCCGGGCGGAGAAGGAGAGGCCGGAGCCGCTGGTCCGCCTGGAGCTGTCGGCGATGCTGGAGGTCAGGAAGGAGACGTCTAGCCTGGTGTTCAGCTCCCTGACGGTGCTAGCCAGCGGGGGCCACAAGCACTGGTTCTCCTCGCTCCGGCCCAGCCGGGCAGCGGTCTTCAACGTGTTGGAACACTTCTGGAGGGAACAGCTGTTGGGCCAGGAGGGGGGCGGGGAGGGGAGCGGGAACGGGGAGGGGGCCGCGGCCTCGCCCTGGGGAAGCCCCTCATCCAAGGGCAAGGAGCTGATCAGCCTGGCCACCAGCTCCCAGAGGCGGCTGGAGGACACGACGACCGTCCTCCACCACCAAGGGGAGCAGTTTGACCGCATCACGAAGGGGCTGGACAAGATCGAGTCGGACATGGACGTGGCTAACAGGTAATGGCCCCTCCGACAAGGCAGATCCCCCCCACCCCCCCCCTCCCACACGCAGCCCCCCCCTCCCCAACCCCCCGCACAGCCCCACCCACACACGGTCAACCAAATAAACTTTTCTTACGTATCGGTTAGAACGCTCCTGTGGCGGAGTTCCCTGTCGCTCGATTGTTAGAGCAGTCGCCTCGCGAGCGAGGGGACCCGGGTTCGATTCCCGAGCGCTTCCTCACTCCACAGGCGCGGCTGCGCGGACCCAGCAGTAGGTAGGAATCCGGTCGCTAAGTCGGTCGGCGGATGGCTTTTTCCTGGGGGGTAATAATCCCTTCCAAAGGAACAAAATAATTAATAGTGACAATAAATCGGTCACCGCGATCCACGGGCGTTGGTGGGAGAGGCTGCTGTGGGTCTCGCCCACCGGTCGCACAGTCACTACACCTTAACC